CAACCAATATTTTCGCAGAAACGGCCCTGCGTAATCCATATGCATTCTTTCAAAAGGTTTATTAGGACAATCCAAGCGTGTTGTATTTTTTTTGGATTGTCTGCCCAAACATTGCATGAATCACAATTCTTTACGTCATTATCTATATCTATGTTGATGCCAGGCCACCAGATGTAGTCTCTGGCCAAGGTTTTGTCCTATGAGCCCCCAAATGTTCTCTATACAATTCTTGCAGCATCTGTTTTCTCATGTTGAATGGTATGATCACTTTTGATTCGTTGTAAAGGCAATTATCAACTATGCTCAATTTTTAACAATAATAAAAAAACAAAAATAAATAATAAATAATAATATTTTAAAAATCCTAATTTTACCATAAAGTAACCAATGATTATTTAATTAAATAGTTTGTTATATAATTTTATTAACACTGCGAGAGACTGTTAAGATGTTTAAGACTGTAAAATGAGTTTTTTATTTCATGTTAATTTAACATTGTATATAAGGACGATGATAGTTAATAAGTACGGCATAAAATATAATTCATATTTTAACTCACGCAAATATTATATATAGAAAAATGTGATGTTCGATAATATTATGAAATTAATGATGAAACTAATAAAATATATTTATATCCTGACGCTCTATATGATTATTATATAAAGAATCAAATGATGAATCTAATAAAAGATATCTAAATTAGTGATCTGCATCGGGCCTAAATTTTCAAGACCTGTCCGATCCGAAATTTTTTTAAAAAAGTTTTGCCGGCCCGGCCCGAACCCCAAATTTTTTTAAAAAATTTACCGGCCGGGCTCGGCCCGAATTTATTTAAATATAGAAATTAATTTTTATAATTACTCAAAATAAAGGACATATGTTATATGTCGTTTAGTTTTAATAAATAAAATCAAATATTTTTATTTTATATCAAAAATTCAATATAAAATTGAGAAATTTATATATATTTAAAAAAAAATTCCAAAGTCCGACCCGGCCCAAATTTTTTTAAAAAATACTAGGCCCGGCCCGAAGCGGGCCGGGTACGGGTCGGACCTAACTTTGCAGTTCTCTAATCTAATACACCATACTTCTCACCAATTCTTCAGTTTTTAATATTTTATATATAATATTTAATGTATAGTTTCTATTATTTAATACATGATTTTTAATATTTAATGTTTGATTTTCAATATTTAATGTGCACATTATTAATTGAACCCAATTAATAAAATATTGTCAAATACGAAATAAAAGCGAATTTAATTTTAAAATATCGATGGGTTAGGGTTTGTTAGGGAATTCATCAAATTCTGTCTCTTTGAATATGTGAATTTCACTCACCCTAGAAACTTTTTATAATAATAGATATTATTAAAGATAAATTAAATAAAATTTTTTTATTTGATATAATTTTCTTATATCCATCAATGTTTAAGGTTTAAAAAATATGTACTTTAAATTTTCGGGAATAAAATAAGAATAAATATTTAAATTTTGTGTTAAACTATAAAAAATAATATAATCAATAAGAAATTGAATGCTTTTCATTTCAATTATGAAAACCTTTATTATTTTAAAAATATTTGTAGCTTTTCAGAATAAAATCACTTTTGTTATAATTTAACTTACCAATTTATTTAAAAAAAACTTATGATGCAATAGATAACAAGGTGAGTACCAATGATATATATATAACTATATCAATGGTGAGTATATAATTAAATGTTTAGATGTGAACATAAAAAACCCAATAATTATTTGAAATACAAACAAAAATTTAATTATGATAACTCTAATTTATTCTAAAATATCCACAAACTTCTTCTACCTAAAAATTTTACCAGTTATAATATTATATATTGACCATGTAATTATAAAAAAATGAAAGCTAATAATTTATAGGTCAGTCACTAAAAATACAAAGTTTAAAGGTATGAATAATTTGACATTACTTTAAAGTTATTTTATCTATGATGTTTGATACGAATTGAAACAACTCAGAACTCGAGTTCCAATTGTAAAAAACGGCTCAGACTCAACCCGCTCATTAAACCGTATGATACAAGTAGTCGACTCATTTAGTCGGCCTGAATAGCCGGCTCATTTAATTTCGTCCTGATACGTTTTTCAAATAAATTTTTAAGTTGTCTGTTTTATAAATTTTATTTAATATACATTTTAAATTTTAATGTTATTATTTTTAATAAATTTCATTTGAGTTATTTTTTCTTAACCTTTTGTTTTGCATGATTTTTAAAGGTGGTTTTTTCTGAATCTCTGATTTTTTTTTGTTAAATTTTCCTAGGTAATATTTCTTGTAGATTAATTTTTCTTGTAGAAGAAATAATCAGAATATATAAAGTATTTAATGTTGTAAATGAACATTGAATTATATTTTAATTTAGGCTTGCTATTAACAAACGAAGAACTGAAAATAGCTATCGGTTTTCGTTTAGGATGTGAAATCATATCGCCGACATCATATGTCCTCTGTGATACTCATATCGATAGCCTGGGCCACCACCCTTTACACTTTCATTTTTCAAAAGGCAGATTCCCTAGGCCGCCAAGAATTTGATTATCAATAGAATCTTGAAATCCACAAATATTACCTCTAAGTTGGAAATATCTAACCTCAGCCCGCAAAAAACATATGATAGAATGACGTTACACCCCTGGAATTAAGATATATCCCTCGCTTGAAATTATACATGTGTAGATAGTTTTTTGTCAAATCTACTTTTATTAACTCCGTTAGCAGAAAACATAAAGACAAATAAATATAGACCCCCTTAACAATCTTCCGGTAATTTTAGACACTTGTGGATCATTTGAGCCCTAAGCCATATTATTAATAGGGCAAAGGTTACATTTAATCACAGGTGATCAAAAAGAACGAAATTAGCCGATACATATTTAACCCCCTAGGACTTAACCTAAACATATTTATTTTTTCCCTTTATCAAACATATTTTTTCCCTTTATCAAACATTTTATCTTTATTTTAAATATTTATATATTATATTTTAATACTATTTATAATAAAAACTTATCTTATTGTAATCTTTTTTTAATTTTTAATTCTAAAATTTTATATTTGCATTAAAACTTTTAGATATAATTTCAAATTTTATCGTTAATGATTTATTCTAGTAATCGGCCAAGCAAACCAACAGAAATTTTTTTTTAGTTTAAATATTATTTATTTAAAAAACACATTATAAAAGAAATTACCCCCCCCCCCCCCCGGACAAATATTTGATTTTGTACCTTATCATGGTTATGGTCAAAGGAAAAGTTATTTTACAATATTTTACAATATTATTCAATATATTATATTTCAATTTCTTTTTATTCATAAAAATTCAATTTTTCCTTGATTTAGTTTCATGCAATTATCTAGTTTTGCTAAAAAGCGATTCGGGTCGATTTTTAAAAACGGCCCGATTAAGATTATATTTAAAATAATATTGTGTGAGCCTGGTAATTTTGTTCATTGATGGCAGAAAGGCTTGGTCTTCTACTTAATAAATCTTAAGGCTAACACAATATTATTTGACTAAAATCTTAATCGGGTCGTTTTTAAAAATCTATCAAATCGTGCTTTTGCAAAACTACTTTTATGTAGAATCTACAAATAATTCCATATATCTATACAGCATTTTTATATTATAGTTATGTGATACTTGATTTCAGCCCTAAGTCTCAAGTGTTAACGAGCAATAGAGCGTTTTCCTCAAATTGATCAAATTTTATATAGAAGGAAAAAATGAGTTCTTTCCCTGTTTGTGTGCAAACAGCACGTTTATGTAGGTGTAATAGTCTCAGAACTATTATATAAAGGTCTGGGTGAATAAAAAGGGGTTGGGAAAAGAACATAGCTAACAGGCATAAATTACACATATCTTTAATTACTTTATAAGGCAAGAGAAGGGACGATTTTAATTTTAAATTACAATATATCTATGTAAAATGAATAAATTCTGCAGCATAAAAATATTGAACAAATAACTTTATATCTTGTTAATATTAGTAGTATAAATGAATCGAATGTAATGTATGTACAAGGTATCTAAAAAATACATATAACTATAAAATTAAAAAACCTTGTTATCGGTTAATGGTCTATATTTGTTTTACCGGAAGAACCTTACCTCTTAACTGTGCCGAATACAGACCTATATTATAACTAAAAGCAGTGACGAAGATCAAGTATACTATTAGGGAAGCAATTGGAAAACATTTTTTACTTTAATTAGTTAAACCATACAAAAAGTAAGATTTATAAATAGATACCAAATGATTTTAATTAAATCATTGACTGCAAACTAACGGTTGATTCTTCATGCCGTTAAACTGCTTTCAAAAAATTATTCATACCCAAAAATTTTTTATGACATTCCAAAATATTTTTCCTTCGAGAATAATAGGCATGGCCAACAATATAGAGAATTAAAAAATTCCAATCCGATACGTCCGATACTCATATTTTTCATATTTATCAAGAGAAAAATTACGAATTCAAGTTTTGATTTCTTTTTCCAAGTTTTGTAAAATTGGTTTTGGTCTTCATTTTCAATAATAACTTTCTTTATATTAATTTTTTGAGTTAAATGATATTTTAATAATACAATTGCAATTATTAGACATTTAAATTAATAAATAATTTTATATAAGAAGTAATTATATTTTCTTAAAAAAAAGTATTTCCGATTCCCCAACGCTGTATTTTTAAATGTAAAATTTCACAATGCATTCGCTTTATTATCTCTTTATTTATTAAAAATATAAGCAATTTTATATTTGCTTTTTCTATATTAATATTTTTTAACGTAATAAAAAAATTACGCCATAAATATATTGTATTAGCTGATTTGTTTTTAAAAATAAGAAATATTAGTTTGCTTCTCTCCATCAGTTTTATAACATAGTATAAAGATTATATTCATTTTATTTAAAAATTTACATTAAAAGTTAACACTTTTTGATAAACATATGATTTAGGATATTTGCCTCTTATCCTTTTTTTTATAAAAAAATATTTTTCAGTAAATTTTATTTTAAATATTATAAAATAACTATGTTAAAGATAATTTGGACTTTTTTAATCGGTTTTATAACCGCCGCAATATATATTATATTTAGAACTATATACCGTTTGAATTTAATTATAAAAGAAGATAATCAACCAGTGCCATTACTAAGTAAAACTTTGAATTTTAAACATTATATAATTTCGATTTTTTATATAATTTATAATATGGGAGTTTAAATGTTTTAGTATCTATTATATTTAAATAATATTTTGTATTTAGTATTGTTTCAATATGAAAGATATCACAATAAAATAATTATTTTTTATAAAATTCATTGCATATTAATTAAATTATAGAATATTTTATGCATATTATATGCCATTTCAATTAAATTATAAAATAATTGAATTATAACAAATTTAGAAAGTATCAAGGATTAAAATAATATAATATGGAGTATTATATATTTAATATATGATTTATTTAATCTCTAAGGACAACCTAAATTTAATGTTTAATATATTGGGTATTCATTTGATAATATTTATTAATTTAAAACAAAATTTTATATTAAATTGTATCACAAACAGGCGCGTACGCAGGAATTTGGTCTGGGGGGGGGGATAATAAATTTTTTTAAGAAATAATATTTTTAATTAAAAATACTAAGCATAAATTTATTAGGTTTAATAACTTTTCTAATACACAATTTTAAACTAGTGTGAATTAAAAAAATTATATATATAAACCGGCATTTAAATGTGAATCATAAAATATAAAGTGAATATAACCCACGATATGAATCACTTAAATGACCCAAAATTGAAATTTGAATTTTTTGAGCTTTTAAAATATATAAAGTATAAAAAATTTAAAAGTTGTAAATATAAATTAATACAAAGTTTCTTAGGAATAATTGTATTTTGTATGTTTTGAGCTAATTTTCCAATTATCAATCCTTGCTTGGCGTTAAATGTCTATGAATATTCAAAAGATCCAAATCATTCAATCTACTTTCAGATGTTGTATTTCATAGGTATGTTTTTCACAGACTTGCAGGCCCGGCCCCCGAGCCGGACCGTATTTTAATTTTTTTAAATATACCCGGGTAATTTTTTTTTTTTAAAACACCCGGGCTGGACCTGAAAATTTTTTAAGAAAAAATATCCGAGCCGAGTTGTATATTTTAAAACCAAATATTTGAAATCGCCATTATTAGCTATAAATATCAAAAATAAATATAATTTATTTTAAAAAATTCGGGCTGGGCTAGCCAGGCCGGGCCTGAAAAATTTTTTTAAAAAAAACCTGGGCCGGAAAAAATTTTTAAAAAAAAATCTGGGCCTGGTCCTGCAAATGGTACCTCTGCAAGGCTCTGTTATTCTTCTTAAAAAAGTGAATGTTCTCTCATTAGTTTACTAAAGAGCTGCTAATATATATATAACCATTTTAATAATTGGGAGTATAATCTAAAATGTGTTTGAAATAAAAAGCATCCATAGCATTTTTTGGGACTGTATCAACCATAGTTAATCTTTTAATCATAGTTATTCAGCTAATAAGGCATCATAAGATATTTTAACATCTTCATGATAAAAATATAACAAATATTTATATTTTTTTTCTATCACCATATGAAAAAGGTTGGGAGAGGGGACATTTGTTTTATAATACTCTTCTACTGATCCTATATTAATGTTTTGATGATGAGCTTGCTTGGCAAGTCGAGGGGGACAAATATTTAACATGTATAGCTCTGCTTTTGACTCAACAATAACATATAAAATATGAAATTCTTCAACAACACTAGCTCTATTTCCTTGAGTTCTAATAAAATGCTCTCCGCTATTCTCATCTTCTTAATCAAGTCAATGTTATGTTTTTGAAAAGTATTACATAAAATAGTTGTATAATTAAATAATACATTCTAATGAGAAAAAAAATTTGGAATAAGTATTGAATCCAATAATTTTCTTGCTTCTGAGGAAATATTTCTTTCAAGCCATTGTGATATTTCAGTAATAGCATTAATAATCAGCTCTTCTAACTCCAAAATAGCTGTTACTGTGGCGGAGACTCGATCTCGTTGGACAAGCTTGCAATTTTTTTCTCCCTGTTGGACAAGGAGTTTCAGAGATAATTATTATTTTATTAGAAATTTAGATAAATATTACGCCACTAAAATTTGAAAATAATAGGTAAATTACGCCAAGGAAAACTTGAAATCGAAATTGATTGATAAAATAACTTAGTAGATGAATGTGATAAATAAATGTAATTAAATATATATATATATATATATATATGTATATATGAGATAAGAATAAATATTAACAAATATAAATTAATATTAACAATAATATTTTTGAAAAATATAATCCGGCATCTGCATTTTTTGGCTTTGGGGGGGATTTGTCCCCCTCTCCCCCCCCCCCCGCTGCGTACGCGCCTGATCACAAATTAGATGATTTAACTAATAATCATTTTGATACATATATTTTTGGCAAAATTATTGAAAAAATATTGAGTTAATTGTAATAAAACCTTATGAGACATACATGGTTAACAAAATTTAGTTAACAATAGTGACGAGTTAAAAAAAGTTAACTACAAGCAAATAATTTACTTTTAGGTTAGATTATTTCTGGTCAGAGCATTTGTAGAGTAGTGATGTTAAATTGCTCAATTTGAGTCGATTTTTAAAAACAACTAACTCAATATTTTAGCCAGAAAAATATTTTCTAAGTCTCGAGATTTTGCTAATAGATGTCCATATCTATGTACCACATACAAGTAAAATCTTCAGGTCATAATATTTTCTTAGAAAGAATATTGAGTTAGTTGTTTTTAAAAATCGACAATTATACCTACTCAATAAATTTCAGACAATTTTTGCAATAAACTTTTTTGCATTTTATTATTTTTTTAATTTAGAAAAATCTATTAAAACTTTAATATAAAATTAAGAGTAATTCAGAAGTTAACTATTATTGTTTGAAAAGTATTCTATACATGCTTATATTTCCTATAAAATTAAAATTTTCAAAATTTAGAAATGAATTTCAGAAAATGATTAAAAATTATGAAATTTTGAATCTCCTTGATTCAATATTCCTGACTAAATATATAATCTTTTTTAGAAAATTTCTCTATTTTTGTGACAATTTTTTTTCAAATGCAAATATCTGAATCAATCTACAGACTTGTGCCAATTAATTGCCTTTGAGTTTGAATGATCAAACAGAGGCTGCTTTTACTTTTTATTATTAATATGAACACACTGTAAATATTTTCATAAATTTATAGATTAATCACAATTTAAATTTAAATTTTTTTTGTACATAACTAAATTTGCATAATGTCATTAACAAAATAGCTATTAATTATAATGATATATTATCAAAATAATTTGTTTTTGAAAATATTAACATAAAATAAATATGTGTTTCTATCAAATAATATATTTACAATTTTATGATAAATGTTATATATTTTTTTCTCACATAAATTAGACTTTAATTTAGAATCTGCCCTTGGCAGGCTGAGTAAAGCCATCCAATTCAAAACAATGTCTTATGATCCTGGAAAATACGAACGTAAAGAATTGGAGGATTTTGTCAAATATTTAATAAAAGGTATTTTTTTTAAAAACTAAATGAAATGAAAAGATCAAGATAGTGTCCTCTATATACTTAAAACTTCTTAAGCAAAAACTTAATTTATTTTTATTTTGTATCCTTTTAACATTATTCCAATCATCTTTCTAAATAGTATTGATAAATGTCTCGGTTTGAGCCGGTTTTCAAAAACGGCTATCTCAATATTTTAGCCAGAAAAATATTGCCGCCTTGAGATTTCTGTAATAGATGTTCAAATCTTTGTGCCATCTAAAAATCTCTAGACTTGCGTTATATTTTTCTGGATAAATTATTGAATTGGCCGTTTTTAAAAATCGGCTTAAATCAAGCTGTTTTACTTAACTACTTCTAAAAATTATAAGTTCGCAGATGAATGGTGAATAGGATCTGGTTTCCGTTTTCCTAAATTTTTGCCAGATTCCGGTTCAGAGCATCTTAATATAATCTTAAAGGTTTAATTTTTTTAAAAAATCAAAAGTTTTTTTCAAGTGATGAGAGATATGAAGGGATTGAGGGCAATTCGTTGTTTTAGTCAACGTATTTTTGCCAAATGCATAGTTAAAAAATATATGTTTTTTATACTTGAATAGCAGCCATTTTATTATCTAAGCCCTTAAGCTAGGTAAGGATTTGGTTGCCGTCATGCCACGGGGTAGTGGAATACTATAATTTTTTTGGTTTTATTAATGACCACTAAAGAATTACAGATACATAATAGGTATAGATATATTATACTGTCTCATAATATCGAGCCAAAATTAAATGGTATTCATAATAACCAAATTTGCCCAAAAGGAACCATAATTGTATGAAACTCGAGGTTCATTCGAGTACTCTTATATTTTGGAATCCAATATTTAAAAAATAATTAATTAATTTTCATTAATATGCTAAGATTAGTAGGTTGATGTCAATATCGCAGGGAACGAGTAGTAGATTTTTTCAGGGTATATAAAATAGTTATTAGCCCATCGAGTATTGGACTAGCTTATAAAAATAAATTCGTTGGTGCTAAGTGGTTAGGAATATGGCATGGACGGCAATTTGACCGGTGGATTAAGCGATTAATTACTGCGTAACTCATGTGACTGGTAAGTTGTATTTTACACAGATATCAGGTTATGCCATTCACATCCGAGGTAATGGCACCGTGGATTGATATACTATGTGACATACATATTTCGATTGATCATTGACGTAGGCAAAAACCCTCCTAAATATCTCCTGAAAATAATCGTATTTTTTGGCAGAGTGCTTTGAAGAAATCCTGGGTTCTGATTCAAAAGCACCGATTGTGTCAGGAACAATGGGGATTAAAGTGATATTAGGCTTGTTAATATATTTAGCTTAGTTATGCATTGTCGGCGGACTGCACAAGAATGGGCAACCAGATAATTTTTTCTCTAATAAACACTTAGTTTATCTTGGCTTATTTATACCTATCCCCTCCATGTCAATATCCTATTTAAAATATTATATCATTGATATGCGACCACTAATATATTTTTTTTAAAGCTTATTTAAATTTCTAATTTAAAAAAAAATGATCATGAACTGAACACTCAAAAATTTTTTTTATACTTTTATTATAAAATGGCAATAATATGTAATGGATAAAAAATTAATATATTTACATTATTAATTATTAGAATATATGAGTTAAAATATGTAACAATTCAAAATTATCGTCCTTCGCACGGCTATATTAAAATTGTTTTAAATCTTCCTTTGTTTTAATAACTGCAGCTATTGTGGCATTGATTAATAATGGTTCCGGCACATATTCTGGGAGATCGATTTTCATATATAAACTAATTTATTTATAAAAGAAACCTTTGTTCTAAGTCGCGCTCTCCTTTGAGTAAACCCCATATGTTTTTAATAGGAAGTGTAACAGATGGATATTATCATCCTTACAATTTTTTTTTTAGATTGGCAAGGAGCAAGATGTAATTTGCTTCAAGTCCATAATTCAACGTGTTCTGTGTTTAGTATTTATTGATATTTAACATTATTTATATCCTATTATTTATAAGTAAATAATAGGACTTTTGCATTTATGTAATCCCATACCTTTATTTATATTATCTGAAAGCTTAATGATTCTTAAGCAATTCAAAGTTTTCTGATTGGAGTCTTATAACCCTATTTAGTACAGATCAAAACTTATATCAAATTTTGATTCATCGCTGAATATTGTGTTCTCCCATTGCTCTTTTGTCCAATATAATTATTTAAAATATTGATGAAGCGGCTTGATTTTTAAAAAAGTACCTCTACCAAGGTTGTCAACCCCTCCTATCCCATCAGTGGGAGACTCCCGCAATTTTATGTCGACATGCAGGAATCTTTCTCCCGCAAAACTTCATTTTAAGATTTCCTACGCATTCAATTTTTTTAAAATTTATAAATAATAATTTTTTGAGAAACAGTTTATAAAATAAAGATGTTATTTTATAAATTGTCTCGTTTATCAGATCAAAATATTTACTTTTATATAATAAAGCATAAAAAACTCCAATTAAAGTAACTCCAATACAAAGAAGTAGAATATAAAAACTTAAAAACAAAATTATTAATTTGAATAAAATATTATATAATCAAACTAACTTTAAGTAAGATAAAGTAAAAATTATAGGAATAAATATGTGAGGCCAAATGGAATGCCCGGCCCGCAAATTTTCTCTCATAACTTTTAAATTTCTCCCGCAACTTTGACCTCTGCCCATTTGAATAGAATGAAACTTAAAAAGGTAATAAACTGATTAAATTATGATATAATTTTAAAAAATAAGCAGACGATAGTTAATTCTTAAAAGATAAATTAACATAGTAGTTAGTGGGCAGATATTTTTTGCATAGGGTGACAATTTTTTAATAATATTTAACTCATAATTTAAAAAAATTAAATAAATGATATTTATATTTAATAAAATTTTAATTCTTTTTATAAAGAGATCAATAATTATTTATGAATTTAAAAATTATTGTTAAATTAAAAATTAAGGGGTGGTCGTATATCAATGAGATGATGTAATATATCATTGTTCATTATTCTATTATGATCAAAAAAAATTTTTTTTAAAAAAGATTATCAAAAATATTTCGCTTTAAAAAATATTAACATATCAGCTATTGTATGATAATTTGGACAAGCTATTAATTATTCATAAATTTTGTCCTTGTCAATATTAGAAAATATTTGTCAAATATTATTATAATATAATAATTAATTATTTATTTGATTCAATTTATTATTTTTTATCTCTAACTCACTCTTCAATTGAGGATTTTTATAACTAACGTAGTAATGGTAAAAAACTACCTTTTAAAGCATCGACAAGAATTAATTTTTTAAAATGTCAGCTGATTAAAAAAATGCGATCAAATTTCGAAACATTTCTACATCTAAAGGAGTAAAAAGCTGCAAAAAGGGATGGCCTTTAAATTCGTCAAATCCGATACTAATTTAAATGTCTCGTTATAAAAAGAAATATTAAGTATGGTTTATATAATATTTTTTTTATAATAGGTGGCCATTTTAACTTGTACTTTTTGGGAGGCATAAAAATAAAAAATTACTAATCTTAATTTAATTTTTAAAATAAAAGAAAGGAAGCTTGAGAAATTAGATTGACAGATCTCTAGAGAGATAAGCTGAGGTTAATAACCGTGTTGCTTTTTTATTGTTCAAAATTTTTCACAAATTTGGGATACAAAATTCCACGAAAACATTTACTAGTAAAATTTTTTTGTTAGCAGCTGTCTCATTCTCTTTCACATCTATCTCTGTTGGCGGCATTATATATTACTTGACAAATTAGATTTAAGAAATTTAAATTTCAAAATTAGATATAAAGAATATAATTTTTTAAAATTAATTTTTAATTTTTTTTATAGTATATTTACAATAAAAAATTGTAAAGTAGTGAAGTTGCTAAAAAAATTGGGTTATTGCTATGACTATATTTAAAAAAAATTAACGTTTTATTAGCTGTCGTTACAAATAAAATAGCGCGATTTTAACAAATCTGTTCTTCATTGGCTTAATGATTCGTTTTTACCTTCGCCAAATGCTCTCTCTAGAAATATAACGCCTTTTGCTTGAGCATTCTTTTCCTAAGTTGAAAAAAAATATCTAATGATTTAGATTATTCGCTTCTTATATTTTTAATTTCTCCTTAAAACCATTCACTAAATATTATACAAACAAATTTATTATTTAGAATGATCAAATTTTTTTTAAAACACCGAATTAAACCGGAAATTGGGTATCTCTAGGACTGTTTTATTCTATAACGAACCTGATTTTAAAAATATAATCAATCTTAAAAAAATTTTCTGCTCTTAAATTTGTTCAATATTAATTCAAGCTTACCCATTGGTCCATTCGACTCATTGGATCAAGAGAGAGGTGATCAACGATTACAGCTTATTGTATCATTGCGTCAGCATAGCAGAATCTAAAGGACTCTTGAATTCAGATGAAAGTTAATTGATAATATTTTGAGTATTAAGAAACTTAGTTAAAATTAAAGGACACGGTACCAAATTGAAATTTTTTAATAATAATAGTGTCACGTGTCTTTTCATCAGTTTTTTTCCACATTAAAAGAGAAACCTATATTTTTTAATTTGAAGTTTGAAATATTTTCAATTTTTTAAAGAAGAAGTAAGCATTTTTTTGATTAAATAGGAGGTTAAGTTGACTATTTTATTTTGATTAATTAATGACTTGTTTTACACATATTCAATTGATAAAAAAAAGAAATTTGTCAATTAATAAGGATGTGTCAGCCGATAAGAGAAGTACTGTATATTTATGAAAGATCTCTCATTCTAAACATTTGATTAACATTAAAATCAAAAATATTTCTGAAATTTTTAGGTCTTGGCTAATATTTACAATGAATATCAAATATCTATAATTAATTAGCTACTAAAAAGTTTATACATGGACTTTTTTTTAGATATTTATGGTCAAGTTATATTAATCAGAAGATTAGAATTTTATAATATCTTCTCTCTTGTTAAAATGTATAATCGCATTAGGTTTTTTTTCCTTTCCCGCAGTGAAGAATTTCTAATGATTTCTGAAATACTCTTATTCCATAATTGACATTTTAATTTACTTATATATTATTTTTTATTAGAATACATAACCCAACTATCGCCATATTATCCAGTTTTTTAGGTCCAATAATTATTCAATTTATTCGCCCTAAATATTTTTTTATTTTCCTTGAAAAATAGAAAGAAAGAAGAAGAAAAAAAATTACTAAATAAATAACACATGAAAAAATGACATAATAAATATTTATAAATTTTACATAAAAAAATACATGATTTAGATCAAGACACATCCCCTTGGATGCTTATAGCTCACTCGGACGTTGTTCCTGTGTCGGATAATGATTCTTTATTATGGAAATCCCCGGCTTTCGAGGGCCAAATTGTTAACGAAGCCAAACCCCCCAATTTTAAAGGGACTAGTGACGATAAAGGAGGTAAAGCATATATTTAGAATTAGATAGTTTTATATGTCAATAAATATTCTGTGTCTAGCTATTTAATATAATGATTTTTTGGAACATAAAAAAATATTTTTTTTTTATCCACGTCTTTCATGATTAATTTCTTCTGTTCCGCTTATAACTATTCAAATTACACGATTAATTTTAAAAATTTTAATAAAAATTTTAACCTTATTTCTAAATTTTAAATTAACTTAAATTCTACGAAGAAATACCCTATTTGTATGGCCGCGGATCGCTAGATGCCAAGCACATTTTATGCGCCAACCTAGAGTGTTTGGAATTGATGATCAAATCGGGATTGAGACCGAAAAATCGTTCCCTTTACCTCGGATTCGGCCACGACGAAGAGGTGGGAGGCAGCGATGGAGCCTCTCATGTGGCCAAACATTTGGCCAAAAAGCTCGAAAAAAGTTTTCACTTATCAAAAATTAATTTAAAAAAAATATATATGTACATTAAAATATTTTTTTAAAAAAAAGCTGAACATAACTTGGACAAACATATCTGTTAAGCAAAGTTACAAAAATAAATTTATCAAAAAACAACTAAAATTGGCATATGCTCTAAGAGAATGCTCAGAAAACTAACTGGGGAGGGGGGCTATAATTTGTGATGTAACATAATGTTTTGAGGTTGTATTTAAGAAAAATACATCCTGTAGGAATTCAGAAATATCACGTGTATATGATGACGGCTTTTCTAAAAATATTTCTTTTTTATTGAGAAATAAATATCACAGTGATACCTTCACAGGGTTACCACTCTTTCGTTACCTTTCTAGAACAATTTTGATAACAAAATAGCTTGGCTGGAGACTGAGCTAAAGTGATCAAAATATGTAATTGATCACTTTTTGAGGTTTCGCCGTCCGTATTCTTACTATAATTACATATTTTTTAAGTTCAACTGTTAAAAATTTACTTTCCTGTTACTAACAACTGTTACATAAACTCTTTAAATGGTTATACGAGTTAAAAACCTGTTATTTCAATATTATATATGGAAAAGAAAGAAAGAAATTTTTTAATAAAATATATATTAAAACCAAATTTATTGAGAATATGTATATATGTATATTTATATCTAAATATCTACATTTTATATTTTGAATTAATATACTATATATTATCTCTAGATTCACCATCTAATGCCTTACCAAGTACCCCTACTAGTAAACATTTTTCGAATGATTACCAACCACCCTTGGCTTTTATCCTCGACGAAGGAACTAACATTTTCTACGACATTTTGGACCATAAAAATTTGGCCCTGTAAAAATGATATTTTATAATATTTTAAAATAAGATACATGGCAATGCCTCTAAAAGATGACCCAATTTAATATTTTTATAAGCATTTGAAAAGAAATAAGATGCAGGAAAGATCCGTGGGGTCGGGATAAAAAGGCGGTCACCTTTTGAGGCTTCATAAATTTATATCTTTTCATTCAAATCTTTAAATTAGGATAGGAATCTCTGAAAAGGTGACTTGCATCCTCAAACTGACTGTTAAAACCTCCAGCGGTCATTCTAGCGTTCCCATAGCCGGCTCTAATGCAATAGCTATCTTGAGCAGCGCAGTTTCCAAGCTCAACGATTATCGATTCACTTTTGCCAGCTCCCACAGCATCCTCGCTAAGCGGGTCGAAAGCGAATTATTCACTAAAGTTTCCCCGTATTTATTGACCAAATCTAAGCTCAATTCCAAATGCGACGAAACATCTGAAAGTTTACCTTGCAAAGGAGGGTGCGTCGTAATGGCAAAAGGATGCGAATTGATGGAGGAAGCGAAGCGGTTAATTGGCAGAGTCTTTTTAATTAACCACGATCTGTGGGCTCCCTTGGTTGTTAGGTAAACCAAAATAAAAAAATTTAAACTTTTTTTAAGATGATCTAAATTTTGAAACCATAAATTTTATAAGCAATTCATGATTTGGTTTAACCCTTTTATTTATAAAAAAGAAAGTCGAATCATATTTTACCCGAACTGGCTACATTGTTGGTATCATCCGTCCTTCTAAGAACGTCTTTTCAAAGATAGCTGGAATTGCAAGATGATCTCTGGCCCATTTCGATAATATTGAATATCTTTTTTGATTTAATTTTCACTAGTCTAGTAGATTTGTACCATTAGAAATTGTGACTTCATCCATATTACTTGCTTATTTCTATGCTATTAGTATTATGACTATGTTTAAGTTGATACTTCCGCTAAATATTCAAGGAGGGTGTCTATACTATTGTCTTAGCTTGATATTTTAAAGCCGGGATCAATCAACATTGTCGATATTATATATATGTGTTTGAAATTATAATATTTATCAAGTTAACTATGGCAGCTAAAGAAACCAGTTGTAAAATGGTATTAAGACTATTATTTAATTCAAATAATGGGTTCAAATTATTTTGTCATGTTATACATTTGGCTATTATGGCTCTTGAAGCCCTTTAAATAAGACTTTTAAAAAATAAAAATTTTTAAATCTCTATATCCAAGTTTAATAAATTTGAAAAAATTATTTCTTGGAAGAAAAAAAATTCAACCTTAAAATTTAAAACCAATGAATAAAATTATATTAATGCTATAGCCTCGAATAATATATAAATTTATCGATAATTTTTGGAACCATTTAATTTCGCTACAGAGATGGGCATGTACAAATATTTTATCAGTTTCAGCCATTATTCCTTAATATTCAAGCATTTTTGAACATGTCATGAGTTACAATAATAGTACTATTTTGAAGGTAGCTTCTTAGCTGATTTAGCTAAACTTGATAAATACTAAAATATCAATAAACACCTGTATAATATCGACAATGATTGACCCAAGTTTTAAAATATCAAGTCATTTATTAAAGGATAATAGTATAGACATCCTTGAAAAATATATTATATAAAATAAATAATAATTTCAATTCAGCTGAATAGGTAAATGAAACATAAAATAAATCCAAGAGATTGTCTTTAAATGATAAAATATATCAAGTTAAACAATAATAATAGCGTAGAAATGAGCAAATAAATAGATGAAGCCACAATTTCTAATGATATAAATCCACTAGACTGATGGAAATTAAATCAAAAAAAAATATCCAATATTATAAAAAATTGCCAGAGATTATCTTGCAATTTCAGCTATCTCTGAAAGGGCGTTTTCAAAAGGACTGTATGTTATAACGGACCAACGTTGTTCACTAGCTGAACATACTATCCAAGCTTACCTGTGCTTAAGGCTGGATTATCATGCAGGATCCTTCTTAAATGCTTATAATTATTTTCCTTGTATTTTATATAAATAGACAATTATATTATGTTTAAGCTTAGTCATTTTTTGTGTCAAAGGAAGAGTTTCAAACTCAATGCGTTTATTTTTTACATTTGATTTACAAAATTTATGATTAAATCATAATTTTTTATAAAAATTTCTAGTTTAAAAAAAATTTGAATTCAGATTCTAGATCCAATGCATACAATAATTTCGTTAATCTTGGGTTTTTAATATTGGTTCCCAACCCTACTCCTAACTCTAGGTGCGAATTTAAAAAGTTTAGATCCCTTAAATTTATGAATATATCAGTTGGGCTTGTTTGAAGTAAGTTTCATTATAATATATTGGGTGGGGGGGGGTGATTATTTTGGACGCTATTATATATTGATTGAATCCTGAAGAAATTTATTTTAGTTATTATGAGGGAAATGTGTGGGGGGGGGGGGGTCATAAGTCTAAATAGGGTTCTCTTCGACTTTAATTTAGATATTCTATATCCTAAAATAATTTATTTGTAGCTTTCATATTATATTAAATAAACTCTAACAGAGTCACATTGAATGTCATTTTAAAATTTTATGACAGCTTTTGCCAAGAGAGTCAAAAAAGTGACAAATTATTTTTAAATGTCACAATATGATATAAAAAAATATATAAATAAAATTGATAATGTAGAATGTTTATCTAAGGATTATATATTAATATAATATAATTTTTAATTAATAAAAAAGTGTTTATTTATACTTATTTATCAGTGTTAAAACAGATGAAAAAAGTTTCACGGATGGGCTCTATGCAGACTCCAAGCTCCAAAAAACCATTAAAATTAATTTACTAAAAGATCGACAAAAATATATAAAAAGACTCCAAGCTCCAGAAAACCATTAAAATTCAATTTACTAAAAGATCCAGACAGAATATATATAAAAAATTTGAGAACGTTTTTTAAATGACTAGGGTCACCTATGCTAGGGTTAAAAATCATTCTATTAATTATTTCACTCACTAATCCATAATGGGTATGAAATTATATAAATATTGGTAAAGCACGAAAAGGCCTAGATTAACCTCTTTATCATCGGAATAAAAATTTCAATTATCATAAAAAGTACCTAAAAATCTCAATATTACCAGCGATATCCTAAAAACATGTATTTGTCAATTTTGCCCTAATAATTTAGTTTACATATCTATATTTTATCTAAATAAAATGCACAAAAGAGATCTTATATTAAAATTTTTATTGAGCAATCGCATAAAAAATTACTTCACAAATATGCATAATTACAAAATACACATATGAATGGTTTACACTATCAACTAAACTGTATAATTTAGAAAATTTTAATTGTATTTTATATTACATGCTAAAATTTTATTTATCTGCCCAATTTAAAGAAGTAGCAATATTGTTTGCAATGGAAATTGAGGAAAGGCAAAAAGCCAATCCTGAATTCTGCAGGATCATATGTAAGGATTTTGATTAATTTAAGCTTTGAATCGTTATGATCACTCAAGCGACGGTAATCAAAATTATTGGCAAAATTCTTAGGACTATTTATGTATTTGGAAGGGTTTCAGCTAGCCTATTAGCACGGATAACACTTAAAATTAATATAAGAATATGTCTGGAAAATAAATTTATCATAGTTTTTTCTTCAGTTCGATCATTATTCAAGTTATATTTTCTATCTAGACTTATTTATTAATATTAATACTAATTAGTGTAATATAATATTGAAGTTATTTGAAAGGAAAAATTTTTTTTAAATCTTTTTTGCGATCTTAGTTGAATCAAAATTTGTCGGGCCCTAAAATTTCAAAAAACTGGCTAAACACTGCCCTGATAGTAATAATATTAAAATTAAATTTCTTACCCTTTAGATGATTATAATTGTTGTTGTTTTCTTTAATCAAAATATTTATCATTTTATTCACTCTCATCATCTCTCTAAATAAATTATATATTCACATTGTATTCATTCATTGAATAATTTTTTCATCATGACAGAATGATGTCCCAAAATAGTTTGATGACTCCTCTCTTTAAGTCGGTATCGTGTGTGACCAAGTTTCATGGCGGAATTAAGGATAATGTCGTGCCTAGCGAGGCGCAAGCCATAGTATGTCAAAGAGTTCATCCTGTTCAAACCATTTCGCAGGTATTATAAATGAACTTTTTCCCTGACTTTATTATTAATTAAATTAGAAAAATTTTTCTATTTAAAAATATTTGAATAGAAAAAAAAATTATAATTGGTCCATGAAATTTTTTTTTTAAAAAATATTATTTATATATATAAATTAGATCTTGTGGAATTTTTTTAAACGCAATATAGTAATCATTTTTTTTAAAAAAATTAGATCATGGAAATAAATCGCCGAGTTATAAATGATCCCAGGATTCACATGGAGGCTCACTCCGAAGTGCCTAACATTCCTATATCGAGTTTCGAGGAAAAATCACCCATCACAAATTATTTCACGGGCTATCATTTCATCAAAAAGACCATATCTCAACTTTTTACCGATACCGTAGTGGCTCCAAGTTTTAAAACTAAACATTTTATTGATATTCGATTGATGATTTACAATACTTATTAATTATGTAAGCTTTTCTTTTGAACGTTCATTATTATTAAAATATAGTTAAGCCTCAAAATATGTATCTACTCTTCTTGGTGACCAATTTTTTTTATCTTAATTCCGGTCAAACTATATTATGAATATTAAAATTGTATGTTAAATTCCTCTCTATATGTTGACTTAAATGGAAAAATCGCCCTTTAGTTGTTTCTTCCTAAAAGTTTAATTGTAGTCCAAAAGATTTGGGAAAAAATTACACTAAAGAAAGAAAGATCCAAATTAGAATTATCATGAAATATTTTTTTGAAAAACTTAATTTACATTTCTTAATTTTTAAATGATTCTGTCGTTTAATTACAATGAAATTCTCCAAAGGCGTATCCTTATCTTATTCTCTCTCTCTTATTATTTTTAAAAATGCTTATTAAAATTAGCTTTTGGAGCTCGATCGCCAATTTTAAATTATAATTTTAGCCAAAATAATATCAGAAAATCATCGAGATTTCGTTAATACATGTCCATACCTTTCTGCCATATATGAGCACAATCTCCAGCTTGCGTAATTTTTTTTTGGCTAAAATATTTGGTTAGTCGTTTTTAAAAATCGAACCTTAAAGCTAATTAAAATATTCGGATAATTGATACATCTTGACGACCTCAAACTTATTGACCATTTTCGGTTTCATAAAATACGTTTTCTATAAAAAAAAAGTATGATAATCTCAGTATTGCCTTACCCTACTATTTGTAAGATTTATATTTTCATAAGATTGTTTAAGATGCAAATATCCAAAGTTTTTTTTTATTGGACAATTGTATCTATGACTCTTATTTAATTGCTCATAAAAAAAACTGAAACTTTCAGGAAGAATATCCCTAAAAGCTCAAAATAATTACTTAACGTTTAGAAAAAATACTGAATTCTTAGAATTATTTCTTAATGCTCAGATAAAAATCTTAATTGCCTAGAAAAAAATACTAATTGCTTAAATAACATTATTTATAATAAATAAAATTAATGGACAAATTATAAAAAACGAGAATATTAATATCTCAACTATTGATAATTATGACTTAAAATTTTCTAAAGAGTGTATTATAGCTGATCTTATTTAGAATAGATCACAATATTTTTTAAATACTACACTTTCCATAGCTAAGGTCGATTTACTTCTTAATAATATCTCAGATGATGTTTACTCAAATCTTAAATCTTTATGTTCAGAAGTAGAATAATATATTTAACCTTATATTTGATATTTATAATTAAAAATTGATTTATGTATAAAAGTTATGGAAAATCTAATTCTCGACGATATGCTTAATTGCATGTTTTTTATAAATTTTACAAAACTTCAAATTCTTTTAAAAAAAATTAAATAAGTAATCATGCCGGGTGGTACGGATTCGAAACATTTTGTGGGCCTAGCTAAGAATATTTACAGATTTTCGCCCGTTTACATGTCCACCACAGATTTAAGGGGAGTTCACGGGGTTAACGAAAAGATTGCGGTTGAAAGTTACGAAAAATTTCTCAATTTCTATTATCGACTCATAGAAAATGTGAGCGGCTTGGAGGCTTCCGTGTAAATATCTTCATTTTTTTTCTCGCGAAATTTCGATGTATTTAATTTAACTGTTTAAAAAAATAATCTTTGCAAAAATTTTATAAAATATAATAAAATTACACGGTACAAAAATATAATATTTATTTCAATGTTATTTAAAAAAAAAATATCTATATCTAGATCATCATTTGCATTATTGCCGGTATTTCAGGGATTCCTTTCGATCCTTGGATGGCAAATGAATTTGATATGGGTACTTTATAAAATTGTAAATTCATGTATTATCTTTAAAAAATTATTTCTAGTCTTTTTTTAAAAAAATCATATGTGAAAATCTTAAGTTATTTAATATTCCGAACTGAAGATTATTAAATTTAAATTATCATATTCAATATGCCCATTCAATGCTTACAAACTTTATGTAATTTTTTTAAAAATAGATAACATACTTGATGAATTTTTTAATTTTTTATAAGTAATAATATCGAATTTTTTGGTCTATTTCTATTATAAAATTATTTTATAGTTTTACTAAACCAAAATATTTCCCATTTTTTATTTGAAAACTTAATAAGTATTCATTTTTTTAAAAAATTTAGTTTATAATGTTATATTGTGCAATTTTATTTTCATTATTTATTCAAAAAATTGTGATCGTGTTCGTGTTTACAAAAAATTAAACCAAATTTTATAAATTCATATTTAGTTTTATTAATATTAATATTTGATGTTATTTAAAGATTATATATATTAGCAGCATTATTTTTTCAACTTTAAAAAGAATTTTTGAACGCGTTTTTTTAAATGTGATAATTTGATTTTACCAGAAATGTGTACCATCATGTTTGAAATACCTACCCTATGAATTTCAGCGAATTTTGCTATGAACTTTTGAAATGAAAATAATTTATATTCGTTTTTCACTACACTTTTTAATAAATTATAAATGACTAGAAGGTTTACGGCAAAATTGTCTACATTTCATAAGATAGGTAGTCTAAACATGCTGGAATACATTTCCTGTAAAATCAGATTTTTAAATTTAAAAAATCGCACTCGAAAAATGATTCAAAGTTGAAAAATAACACATTGCCGCTAACATTTATAAAAATTTGATCAGATCCTTTTTCATAATTAAGATGCTAGAATTTTCATTAAAAAAAATTATGGATCTTAGGTTAATGTTTAAATATAATATATGACTAAGGTTTAGATCAATTTAAATCATATGATAACAAATACTTAGTTATCTTAGTATATTGTCAAAATAAACTAAATAATAACTTTACCTCTTAAAGAATAAATTAAACCTTCTAGTCTCTTTTATAATACAAAATAACAAACATTTTGTCATTTTTCTAATATAATTTTATATTTTAAAATTTACAATCACATTTTTTAAAATACAAATTTCACACAATCAAAGTCATAAATTAAAATAGAAACCTAGGTACTTGAAGCCATTATATTATAATATAGCAGTAACGTAGCTAGGAATTTTCCTTAGAGGGGGTCCATACATATAAAATCCTGGGTTGGCCCTTTTGCCCGGCCTTCGGCCGGGTTTATCTTAAAAATCATAACCACATCTTCGACAATATATATAAATATTTTTAAATGCATGAATAATGTTATTATAATTTAGTAAATTATTCTCAATGACTTTATAATAATACTACTCAGAATAAATTCAATAGTAATATAATATCCTTTCACAAACATCAAAACCAGAAAAATATAAATATTAATGGTATTTATTTGATACAAAGTCACTTTTAAGTCTTTTGAACGTATAACCTAAAAAAATTTGCTCTGGGAGGGGTCCAAACCCGAAAACCACCCCCGTAGCTACGCCACTGTAATATAGTTACATATATCTTAACATTAATTTGATTAGATAATATATAATGTCAACAACATTAAAGATTCCGATTCAATATTTTCACTCTGACTTGAACATCATAGGTCTTTAATTAAAAAACTCGGTCAGCGAGACCACTGGTTATTGGTTATTTATTTTGATATATATTTGAAAATAACTTACAAAATGATGACGATATTTTGAAATACTAGGCATAATAAAAAATAATATTTACTCTATCTATTCACCGTAGTATGTTTTAAGAGCGGGTCCGTCCATTGTTATATTTAACAGTACCCGACTATTTTAATAAATGTCTAGCCTATTACTTTGTTTTATCAATAAGGTGTGCGACATTAAATTGTTAAGAAATATTCCTAGACCTGTACTAGAATTAATATTATAAAATAATTATTTTTAATCCTCTGGCCAAATGTAGCTGTTAAAGATACACTTTTATTTGTATATTTTATCCAATCCTGTTTTTTTAAATATCTATTTTTTGTTAGTTTTAATCTATTTTTGATGCAACAAATTTTTTTAACCATATGAATATATCATTTTATTTACAAATTTTATATCACCGATATAATATATATAATGTTTTATAGGTAGATATAAATTAATTTTTCCTTCATAAATCATCTTTTTTTTAGGCCAGATATTTTCCTTTTCAATATCTTTCCTATGTTTTTGTGTGTGAATCAAGAAAACAGTTTGCTACCGAAGTTCTGCTAATATTTACGGACATTTTATGTTGTTTATTTTTTAACTCGCTCGACTATCACATTTATAAAGTTGGAAACTCCTAATTAGCAGTACTGCAAAATAAATTATTCACACATCTGAGGAATTTTATTTATAATTGTCGGTAGTGATGCAAAGTCGCTCCAGAGCCCATTTTTAAAAACAGCTAACTAAATTTATTAACCAGAAAAATATTACGCAAGCTTGAATATTTTGCTCATAGTTGGCATAAAGGTTTGTTCATCTATTAGCGAAATCTCGAGGCTAAGGCAATATTTTTCTGGTTAAAATATAGAATTGGTTATTTTTAAAAATCTGCTCTGCAATATTTGCTGGGAGGAATATCCTCGTCAATATATCTCCTATCCAGCAATTATTTTGTATTAGTTTAATTATGAATATATGACAAATTCTTTAAAATTTGATTTTCACCAAATCGCATATTTATGTTTATCATTCAATTTTCTTTCTGGATAAACTAAATATTTTAAAAAAAATTTCCAAAACAAAAATGATTTTGTTAAATTTTATTCTAGTTATAGAGCCATGTACAAAGTAATTTATTCGCGGCCCGAACGCGACCGAAAATTTTGCTGTATGACATTTAAATTTTGGCATACCACTCTGTCGTTTATTCGAGCACAATTTTTTTTAGCCCCACCAGATACCGAAGATCTACTCTTAGAAGAACTAAGAGTATCACTAACCCTAAAGGGTGGGAGATATATCCTAATATTAGGGTTTATTTTAGAATTTGAGTTTAAATATAATATATAAGAAAAAGGTAAAAAGATTATGTTTATTTATTCACATATTGCTACCTTAAATTACCACAATAAATTGCCTATTTTCAATTGTCAAATAAAGTTGCGACCGAGTATAACATTTTATTTTATTTATATATGTTCATGTCAAATGTGTTTTTTCCGGTAATGTGTTATTTTTTCAACTTTAAATAATATTGTGAACCCGTTTTTTACTATTTTAATATCTGATTTAACTGGAAATATATTCAATTTATTTTGAATATCTACCCTTTAAATTTAGACTATTTTCGACATAAAAAATTGAGCTTTAACTAATTTATATTGGTATTTTCATTGATTTTCTGTGTAAATAATTTTTAGGTTAACTGCTAAATTATATACAATCAATAAGATAGGTATTCTAAACATGCCGGGATACATATCCGGTAAAATCAGGTTTTTAAATTTAAAAAGGCGCTCAAAAATTGATTTTGAAAAAATAACACATTACCGCTAACACATAGATATATATATTTAATAATAATAAAAATAATGAAGATGTTCAATAGATATAATATCAATATAATCATAATATAAATAATTATGATTTATTTTAAACTTGTCAAAAAATGAAAATTACATAAATGAATGAATGACATGTTTAAAATTAAAGATAACATGTGATTCTGATTGACATTTTGCTGAAACATTGATTAATGAGTATGTTTCTAATATTTAATCTTTGGGTTGGGCTACCTTGCACCCCAGTCCAAGGAAAAAAGTCTCCAATGTCCTAGGTTGTGCAGGCCTTTAGCCATAGCACCCTCGTTCTCAGTAGTATTCCCTAGTCGGGTATGCATTATATTTTCCAGAGAAGTTATAAATATATCCAATCTTACTTTTTTTAGATTTTTTAAAGGTTATATTTTTGAATGTAAATTATTTTCTAAATAAAGTAACATATGTAAATATTATAAAAAATCAAAACATTGCATAACCTTAAAGAACTGAGAAGCGAATAGTTGCAATATCTTTTGATAACCCTATTGGCCTGTAGATGATATTATATTTGTATGAAAAATATGCATAAAAACTATTCGTTCGATAGGGAAGGTCACTACTCGGTTTTATATCGGGTAAAAAGTTGTGAATTGAAACAATAAAGAAACCAAGGTAGCTTAAAATGAATTGTACCAATTTTTATTACTCCGTGAGGGAAAAAATTGAAACTTTTAGATAAACTCTTTGTTGATTAAAAATTTTACTTTTTCCCTTATGGGGTAATAAAAGTTGGCACGATTCATTTTAAACGAATCCCAAAGATTTTGTAATACTCATCTAGTGAATAAAACTTTTTATCTGGTTCAAACGCGTCATTTAAAAAATTTTATTTTCTCTCTTGTAGTAAAGTAATTATAACTATAAATTTTAAGCTGCTCCCAACGTTTTTGCAACATTGTATTACTACCCAAAATTTTTTGCATAGTCAAAAGCAAAGTTTTTATAATATTTTACTTTTTTTCCATGTGGAGTAAAGAAGATTATCATTATAAATTTTAAAGAATTTAAAATATGTTTATAATATTGTTCTACTATCAAAAAATTTTTATCATAAATTGAGTTTTTTTAAATTATTTTAAATCTTTTCTACCGCCATCTTACGTTAAAATTTTATTGCAAAATAATATATATAAATTATTTGACATTTTATTTTTTGATTTTTATCTAAAGGTATGTTAATTAAATTTATATACATAATTTTTAGATAAAGTTGATATAAATTACTATATAATATTATCACTTTCTAAAAATTACTTTTAAAATACTTATTTAAAAACCATTCCTTTAATAAAATATTTTTTCTACAAATATCGAATAGATTTCAATATTAATTTCCTGACATTCATAATAAGCCCATTTAGAATTGGGTAAATTTGTATTTATATTTACATACATGACTGCGCCAATATAATATTTGGTATAATTCATACAATTTTTATTCATAAAACCATAACAATATATATCAGAGATCTGCATTTAAATTTTCATATATACCCGGGTCGGGCGAGGTCTGAAATTTTTTTTAAAAAAAAATACACAGGTCGGGCCGCGTATTAAAGTCATGTAATTGAAATCGCCATTAATCGCTATAAAAATCAAAAATAAATATACCATATTTTAAAAAATACGGGCCTGGCCTGAAAATATTATTTTTTTAAAAAAGTCGGGCCAGAAAATATAAAACCTGGACCGGGCCAAAAAAAATCCGGGCCAGACCCTGCAAATTGTATCTCTGTGGGTCTTCTACATATATAGATCCGGATATCACATTATAATAGATGTTCTGGGTGTTAGGTAATTAACTTTCTTATATTATAATAATCGTATTATATATATTTAATCATTATAAAATATATCTAATTAACGAATATACTAATTCATAATATACAAATAATATAATATTATATTTTCATACATGTATTTCCATAATATCAACAATAACTTTATATGTATACATTCCACATTCCTACATTCCCCCTTCATTAATAGAAAGGACATCTCCCTAGGGATATCCGCAAATTATTCTTCTAAAAAAGTCTTTTTTATTGTTCTCCATTTGCCTTTACCGTGGAGTTTTACCTTTTTTAACGCCCACACTCTTTCTCCCAATTAAAATCTTGATCTCTCAAAGAGCATCAATATTAGTTGCCTTGATACGGATCTCTCCTAGAGTATCAATATCGTTTCATTTGTTGATTGATCTCCTACTAAAATCCCCATCGATTTTATTGTATGCTTAATCTCTCACCGGAGTACCGTTATCGAGCCATTGTTCACTTCATCTCACACTGGAGTAATATTATTGAGGCTTTGTAGATTGGTCTACATTGTACTTGAATGGCCCACGAAGTCACCGTTATCCTAAAGTCAGAGAGATTGCTATTATTTTTAGATGGCCCATGAGGTAATTCTCATCCCTACATGGCATAAAAAGTCATCATTAGTCTTTTAACCCAAATATGGCTACATCAGGCTCACGGAACCCCCATTAGTTTTTGTATAGATTTCATGATTTGAGCCCAAAGTACTTATATCTTTATGTCTAAATTAATCAGGTTTCTTTATCAGTATCTACTTTCCCAATGTCCTTATTATATATAATTATAAAACAGCTGATGACTATTTTAGAAAATACACCACCTAAATGAATCATTCATTCACTTGAAAACATATGATGGAATTATCCCACGAATTAGATTTATACCAAGTTAACGCAATTAAAGAGTGGAAAACGATTGAAATAGTGAATTAATTATTTAGATATGTAAATTTTAATGTTATTTTAGGTTTCAACATATAAGAGTTACGAAGATAGTAATTTTTAAAATAACTAATTCTATAATTTAATGAATCTTAGGTATAATAATTAAATTATGGCAGTTATTTACTACTTGGAGATTGTTAAAGTTTGTTATTATGATTTTCACATTATAATTTTATAACCTTAGAAGAAATATTATAAAGTATCATTTGTATGATTGCTTAAATAATACGTGTAACTGGAAGATACTCCATGATGTGTAAAATTATTACTCAAATATATGATATAATCAAATACCATATGTATTACATATAAATTATGATGTAGCTATTACCACAATATCTCTATCTTGATTAATATTATTTATTATGAATAATTAACACCTATATAAATTATTGGGTTATATTTGTGAATTTCATATTGAACTAATTAAAATTTTTGCAATTCATAAGATAAGAGTTAGATAAGATTTTATAACTACTTTTTCTTGTAAATTATTATATAAATATATAAGAAACATACACTCAAAAAGCGTCAGCACCTTGTTGCAAAGTATGATTGATATAAAAATCATATTAAAGATAAAAATGTTTGACTACAAAAATATAAAATCTTATAATTACCTTTAAAAAGGAGAAATTAGAGGAAAACCAATTCAACATTCTGATTAAACTAATTTTCTAATTCTAACCTTACCAAACTATTAGGGGCAACTCCAAATACCCATCATATAAGTGAGTTCTCATATGTCTGTCTAATTTTAATATTTTGATGCTCCTCATCTTTCACTTCATTTCATAGATTATTAGTTGATAACTTTGATACTTTTTTTTGATATCTTCCCATTGATTCCTTGGATTTTTGCCAAATAATTTTTACTAATAAGAATAAATTTTGAAATAAATAATAAAAATAAATTGTTGATATTTTTTTAGCTTAGGTCTAACCATAATATAATCCCACCCATATGTGATTTCTGATATATAAAATCATTATCATTTTAGGTTATATGACCATCAGAGATTTGCAAAGCCAAGCCTATTCTGGCTGTTATTGTTTTTTGCATAAGTTGCTTGGCCTATCTCATTTAACTGTTTGCCCAGCCTACTTAGGCCAACCCTAGGGTTGTTAAAAGGCCCAGTTCGGGTCTATTTTTAAAAATTACCCGATTAAGAATATAGCCAATATATTGTTCTGTAAACCTGGAGATTTTACTGATGGCACAGAATGGTTTGGATATTTATATGCTAAATCCCGAGGTTTACATAATATTTTTGTGGCCAAAATCTTATTCGGTTTTTAAAAATCGACACAAATCGGGCTTTTACCTTAGCCCCTCCCTATTATTTTTTTTAATTGGAATGAATTATGAGACTTCGTTAAAAATTTATTTTATCGATTTTACAGAACGAGTTTATGTACCAATTTATAATGTTATATTTATTATATTATTTATCCTCAATATTTTTACCTTTTTAAACTAAACTCCCCTCTACCCAAATTAAATGGTGGCCATAGGATTTAATCTATTATTATAAATTAATTTTATAATATATATTTAATGTTTATATAGAAATTCCCGAGTCCTGCTCATATTGCAAGATTCTAAAATTGAAATAAGGTAATTTTGATTTTTTTATAATATTTTATCAAATAAAATATAAACTCAAATAAAAATAATATAAAAAAAATTAATAAAATATTTAATATAATTTTTAACGCACAAATTGAGCGTTTGCGTTTTGCCGTATTTTTTTTATTAATAAAAACGTAACGCATCTCTTGTTAAAATCGAGGTTGCCTTTTTTTAAATATCGTCGATATTCAAAATTTTAACTAAGATTTTATATTCAAACAGCGCGGTAATTAACAATCATAATTTTTGCAATATACGTCGCACGATATGTTTTCAAATGTTATTATAGCCTTTCCATTGTTTCGCTCCATATTTATAAATTATAGCAATTTGTCTGATTTTTTAAAATAACGCAGCGTTAAATATCGCACTGAATTTTTGGTTAAAGCCTTATGCTAAAGCGACGCTATCGAAATCACAGCTTATATTGAGTTAATAATTTTTAAAATATATGTCGCAACATATGTTTTTAAAATTTATATCAACCCTGCATTCTCAGTTAGCGTGAATTCGCAGCGAAATATACAAAATATGATATAAATGTAATAATTTTACACTAATTTTTGTTTACTCTGTCGCGAATTCGCGTTAACTGTGAAGTAACGCCTAATATTTATAAATTATACCTATTTATTGGCTTGATTTTGTAAATAACGCACCGTTTGAACTTAACGCGTTTATCATAAATTCGGCATAAGTTATAAAAAATAATTTATTTTTGTGAATTAAATTATCGTCTGCCTTTTTATTTCATTAATTTCGAAATATTTCATTTAAAAAAATAAGTAAGTTATTGTTATTTTTTTTTACATTTTATATAATATTGCAAAATGAATAACAATAAATATCAACCTGTTTCTATTTTTTTTTAAAATGATTTCTAACGCCATGCGATAATTTGATCATTTTTAAACATTAATATTTGAAATGCATTATTTACGTTTGCAACACAGCGTTTGAAACGCTCAAATGACGCTTAACTTTACTCAAATTTATACTTATATTCTAAAAGATCGGGAAAAGATTCATTTGCCAATGTGGACATCAACATCGATAGTAAAAATTATTCATATCTTTCAATAAATAGATATTTTATGTGTGATTGATTAAAGGGGTTACATTTTTTTTAGTGTATTTACTTTGGTGACTTTAATAAAATAAGAGGCGGGACAGAATATCATCGTCCTCACTACAAGATCTCGTAAGTCAAAAAAAAAAATTATTTCTGCAGAAAGGAATATATATTTTTATAGGTCATCTATCATCAGCTAAAAACTCATATCTTACTAATTATTAGACATGATTTTTATCTCATTGGGGGTTCATTGGCCCGTCTTCGAAAAACTCAAAAGATGATCATACGAAACTTTATAATAATCATTAGAAACATGTATATCATATTATTATCAAATTTTTTAAAAATTAAAATTGGATTAACATTTAAAAAAACTACTATCTAGGTCTTGCAGTAGGGACTATGCATTCCCCGGCGCGATTTAAAAAAATATATTTAAGGCCAAGGTTTTTTTATAGGTCTCTATATTGAAATTTTTTGGAATGGAGGATTTTATAAAGAGTTTTTTATATTTATTAATGTGCATATAATAAACAACCTAAAGTTAGCCATACCCTGTCAGAGGTATCGAAAGCTGGATGGAATATTAAAAGATACTTTAGAGCTTTAGCAATATCCGATAGTCATTCATCAGATCAATCCCTCGAAGAAGAGAACGTTGGCAAACATCAAATTTTTTCTTTTGCCACGTCTCTCGTGGAATACGTGCATCTGTTTTCTCTGGCCGATGGCAAATATTTGATTTCATTCAATCCTAATGTTAGTATTAAATATTATTATTTTTTAAAAAAATTTTAATAAAACATAATTATGAACAGAGTGAACGAACTCAATTAGATGATAGCGAAAAATTGGACCAACATTCAAATTTAATATCTTATATGGTTTTTGTGGAGCCATTGGTCGTGGGCAACAATAGTTTCTCAAAAATAAATCAAAATGACGAGTTATTTAAAATAAAATAAATGCATTTTATGTTAAAATTTTGTAGGCTCTTTGAATTATGGATAATTTCGTTTCAAGGAACCTTATTAAGCTTCATTATAAAGTGAGTTTATTTAATTTTTTTAAAGATAAAAATAATTTGTATTGAAAAAAAAATAAAGTTTGACGAATCAATCCTATTTTATGAATTTTGAGTTCGATTTTGTAAGACCGGTTTATTCCGCGCAATACGATTCCATCCATCAATTATTAATCACAGCGGGTAATTTTTTTTTACGAAATCTCATATTTTTTTTATATATGATGTTCTAAAGTTGTTGGTTGGTATATACTATCCAAGTTTTTTAAAAAAAATTTCACTCATAGGCAAATGACTTTACTATTGTTCTCAAATAATAGATATGAGATAATAAGCGTATTCGTTTTTTTCTCTACTAACCCATTTACTCACTTTGGACGTATTTCTTGATTATTTGTATATCACCTGCTGTTATTAGGTTTGAACTATCTGTTATTATAGAACTTATATTGAGTGGTTTTTTTAACGTATGTTGTCGGCCAGTAGAGGGGCACCTTATCTGCGTTTCCATGGCTATTTTTATACCCAGCACTTGTTATTCGTAGTAAAAATTTACGGATAATAGGTAACCATCTAAATAAGCTGGACATGCCATTTAATTTTTTTATGAGGGTCATATAAGTATATTAAAACTTAATTGTAAAGTAGCTCCCCTAAATATTGTCAAAATTGAATTAGGCGTGAAAGTTATGGGTAGGTTTTTTTAATATCTGAATTACTGAAAGATCAATCATTATTATAAAATCAATATTATTGGAATATTATATAGACCAATTTTTTATTTTTAAATATATGTTATTTGAATATTATTTTAATGAATTTAATTTATATTATGTTTCAATTGTAAACTCGCGTTATCATTTGAATAAACTTTTTTATCAATTTTTGTTTTTTAAATTGTGTAGAGATAAAAGGATCTAAAAATTACAATAAAAAAAATTAATTTAATTACAATGACTTTTGAATTCTATTTTAAGTTCAAATTCTTTTAAATTTGAAGAGAGCTTCAGTTAAGGTCTGGTAGGGGGTTCGACTTGTTGGGATCTCGTAAGTGTCATTTAAGTTATTATAAATAAATAATTCGTAAACTTTACTTTAAATTTTTTTAATCTTAATCAAATATAAAAAGTTTTATATAAACATTTAAATTTATTCTTCAAAATTTTTTACCAAAAGAAAGTTTATCATAATTTATTTACCAAAAAAAGAAGTATATCTTTATTCAAAAATTATATTTTAAACTAAAATAAAAAGCGTATCTCTAAGTATAAAAATTATTCCCTTTTTAGGGAAAATAAAACGCGCAATTATAAATTAAAATAAAATTGGCGCAAAGTGAATAAAAAGAACATTTTTAAAAAGGAGTTGGGTTAGTTTTATCTTGCATAATTAGAAATAAAACCTACCCCCTTATACTTTCCGGAACTCTGATTATACCTCTGATGCAAGGCGATCTCCCGGACCTAAATATCTAACTTATATTTAACACCCTAATAAGGACTCCAAAGGGAAAAAAACTCCTAAGTAAAAGAAAATACAAAAACCATATGTTTCACTTTAAATGTACTTAACTCAAAACAAAAGAAAAACTTTATATAATTTTTATGTATTGAAGGCAAAACAAAAGAAGGGTAAAAAAGAAAACTATTTTTAATTGAAGTTTATTTAAAGCTAAAGGATAGCAAACTAGATTAAATTAAAATAACATATTTAACAAAATTTAATTTCAGTTTAAATTAATTACTAATTCAGTTAAAGTCGTATTATAACATGCTTCTCGTGACAGTGAGGCAGTCCTAGAAAAATCTTATGATTTTTTTTAGTCTGAACTTTTTTTTATACGCTATAAAATAGCTCAAATTAAATCGGTGAATACGGGGGCTTCTAAAATTATTTATTAATTATGAAATATTTGATAATGATTTATAAATACCGATAAAGGCTTGTAATTCCTTAATAAAAAATTTAAATCTTATCTATAAAAAATTAAAATTATTGTAACGTTTATCAATTTTTATCCGTAATCATCAAGGCATACTGCCACTCCAGGCTAGTAATGCCTTTAATAATAAAACCATAGCCTTTAGAAAATTGATGAATCCGCTACCCTGAAGTGTAATCTGTAGTAACGATAAATTTCACAAGGGATATTTATTACTTGATAATTTTTTGGCCTCCTCATCAAGATTTTATTGCGGGGAAGATCCATTATAAGAATTTAAAAGTTAATTTACCTTTCCACCAATCCTTATATAGGTGTTTGCAGAGTTGTTAAAGTAGCGCGCATACTTTTTTTAGTGTGTCAGGTTTAGCATGCCACTTACTAACAAAAATAGCGATAGCTTACTAATTTGGAAAATAGCGAAGTAACGCAATATAATAAATAAACATAAAAGTTGTTAAAATATATTTATAATTAATACTAATAATTTTTTTATTTAATTTAATTTTTAAATTGAAATTTATATTTTAAAATCTGCATTATAAATCAAGTTTTCTAAATAATTTAATGTCCGATATCAGGCGATAATTTTGGTACAGATCATCGAAAAAATTTCCCTGAAAAATAATGATAATATGGAATTGTGTTTCCTGAATTTGCAAAATATTTTAATTTCGATAAAAAAAAATTTACCTCAGAGTATAAATTTTATTGTAAGATGTGCCGGGAGATCTTATCATCAAACAAGACTAGTGACTTTAACGAGACATTTAAAAGTAATAAATCCAACAAATTTAATATCAATGTGTAGCCCAAACCTTAATCATATAAAACTTGAATCAAAGCTGTGCCTTTAATAGTTTTTGAGCTAGATGAGTTTATGTGAATGATTTTCTGGCCCAGATCTAATATGGTATGTAGCAACTGGCCATAAGATATTATTCAAGAATTATTATATAAATAAAAAACTTACAATATTTAATTAATATTTTATTTTATTATCAGAATCATCTATTTATTGATAATATTTTATAATTTGTTATCCGGATGTAAAACATGCGCAAAATTAACCACTCATCTATTTATATATATGTAAATTTTATCAAAACATGCTAAAAAACTTAGCTTATTCTCTACATAATTTTTATTTTAGCAATTTATTTTTTTGAAATAAATAATACTATTGAAAATCCTTTTGACACATTTTTTAAATCTAAAAATACTCAAATGAATATTTTTGATTTTTCTTATATAATTAATTAAATTTAATATTGCATAGCCTGCTAGTGTTGAACAATTATTTAGTAATAACTTATATTTTCTTATTATCGCTCTTGACTTGGGGAAGTATGGAAATATTATATAAAAAAAAATTATATATATTTGAAATTTTAGTCATATTTTTATTTGTGGAAAAAGAAATATATAAAAAAGTATTTTAAAAAAGATTCTAAAGCAGCCAATAAGAGTGCTACTTTTTTTGTAAAATAGCTGTAGCGATATAACGTTATTTTTAAAAGTAGTTTTTAACAACACTAGATGTTTGAATAATATATGTTATTGGAAGATATGAAAGAATTATAATTTTCAAGAACGTAGGTTAGTTAATAAGTGAGAAAATAACTAAGTAATGAAGGAAGGAAAGGAAGAAAGAAATTTAGATTCAAAGCAATTTATATATTTTTATTTGCAATATTAACATTGATAGTTACAAATTCTATATATATATTTTCTATTTATTTTACTTTATACCATTCGTTAACATTATTATTTTTTGGCATAATACGAGTTATAGCATTTGTTTTATGATTTAAAATAAAACGTATATATATATACAATTTTAGGACCGATTAAAACGAAGGAGAGTTGTTCCTCACAATCCCTTAATCCCAAATCTTCTGGCTTCCTACAAGGTTGGAGACGGATAGATTCTATAACCGGACTTAAAGCGCTAGATTTTAGCCTTTTTTCAACTTTTCTTCCTTATACCTTCGACGAGGAAACTCTGGGAAATGTCTTATTACGCATTTCGCCCAATCAAGATAAGCTTGCAATTTTAGTTGTCACTAAGTGTGATTCAAAAACGCAGAATAATTCTCGAAGTTTGTTGATCGTATCTGGTTTGCCGGGGTTTGGCATTTTGTCAAAAGTCGTTTTAAGCGATGGTAAGATTGTGCCCGAAAAACAAGAAGTAAATACTAAAAGATTGTTTTGTATAATAAATATAAAAGTAAATTTGGTTCTGTTGTGTTTAATAGTACTATTAAAGAAATATGTGTCTTTTTTGTTTTGTCCCCACTCAAAACAGTATTATATTTTATTTTGTCTTATCCTAATCTTAATTTAGACAAAGCCTGTTTTTATATTTTATTCACTTAAAACTGGTCCTAGCCAGTTTCGAGATTGGCCATTACATGGAAAAAAATATTATAACAATAAGTCGATAGATTTTTTTTTATTGTTGTTTTGTTGGAAAATATATAGTATATAAGGGCCATCTAAAAAGAATTATAGATCATTAAATAATTACGACTTTTTTTTCACTATTTTTGTTTTATTATTTTAGTTAACTTAAAGATATTGTAATAGTTTTCTTTTGGAATACGGTTACCATTTTAGTTTAAATAAATACACGGATTTTCGGCTTAAAATCCTTTTAAATACGATGACAAAAATGCCCGCTAAGTCCGATCCCCCAGTCCCAATTTCCGACAATCCCGGACCCTCAAATTCCGTCGATCCCTCGCCCTCCCCTATGTTTGGACTCGACTGTCAAACTATCTCACTAGCTCCCAACGTTCGAACGTTTTATGCTCCTCCACCGAAATCAGACGGACGAAAATCTATATGGCCTTCCAAAATCCATGGCTGAACTATCAAAGCAGGATATAAAGTTGAATTTCAATATAGTTGGACAGTCGAGTCCAGGTATTTGGGTATAGGCTTCTTTTAGATCTATCACGGAAAAAATGCCCCCCCCCCTCTTTTAGTGTTCCAAAATTATCTTCAATTCGGGGGATCGGGTAAAATTCGGGAGTGACCCTAGGATTTAGGGTAATTTTATAGTCTATGCATAGGTCAAAGGTATTGTCAGCTTTTTGAATAGGCACACTTGGCGATCCCCATTTACTAATAATCCCTTCGTTTTCCCAGTCTTTTAGTAATAGTTCGATTTGTGACTTTAGTGCATAGGGTACAGTTCGGGGTTTGATGAATTGGGGTTGGGCGTTGGGAAGAAGTCTTATATCTATTTTGTTTAGAAAATTACCAAGGGTATCAATATTCGTGGAAAATTCTGTTGCTGCTTTATTTCATGATTTTTGGATGTGATTGGTATTTTATTAGTATATCTTTTCCCATTATGGATGTGTGGTTGTCATTTGTCACAAGTATTTTACCTGAGTCTGTGTTGTCATGGTATTTTATTATCGCGGGGAAGTGTCCTATTGGTTGTATGGCGTGTCCCGAAAATGATCCAGTGTCTATTTACATTTCCAGTGGTATATTATTTATCTTTATGATTACAAGAAATGGGTGGTTCTTGATGTTGTCTGATTCATCTTTCATCATTTATGCGTTTGTACTCTTTATTTCCTTCCATTTTTTGCTCGGGTGGTACTAGGTTAGATGATTGGTAGGATTTTGCCGGGAAACTGTTGTATGTTTGTCTAAATGGATAATCGATTTGGTAAAGTCCGCGGTTACCACACTTGTAACAGGTGGGACTATCACTATGCTGCACGCCTCGTATTTCGGATGATTGGATTCCGGCTCCGAATTGAGATGAAAGGAACAGATCCCAGCTGGGGCCTAGATTGCATTGTGTAGCTAATGCAATTAAAGCATTTGCATATTCGGTATTTCACCATCCTGTTGTATACGATGGCGAAGTATATCAATTGACAGCCCTTGGTTACTATTAATATTGCCTAGAATCCTTTATATCCTGCATTGATAGTTCAGCCATAGATTTTGGAGCAAAGGCCATTTTTATCTTTGTATATAACATGTGACCACAAGATTTAAGAATAATGATAATAGTTTTTCGTCCGTCTGATTTCGGTAGAGGAGCATAAAACGTTCGAGATATCGATTGCCTCATCTTGATCATAGATTATCGAATGCACGTTGGGCGTTAGTGAAATAGTTGGACAGTGGAGTCCAACCACCTGGGAGGGAAAGAAATCGACGGAGTTCGAGGGTCCGGGATTGTCGGAGAATGGGACTGGGGAATTGGACTTACCAGGTATTTTTTTCTCATCGTATTAAACTGGATTTTAAACCGAAAATTCGTGCATTCATTTAAACTAACATGGTAACCGTATTCCAAAAAAAAAACTATTACAATATCTTTAAGTTAACTAAAATAATAAAACAAAAATACTGCAAAAAAAGTCATAATTATTTAATGATCTATAATTCTTTTTAGGGGGTCCTTATATACTATTCATTTTTCAACAAAACAACAATAAAAAAAATCTAACCACTTATCGAATGGATTTTATTGCGATACTTTCGCGAATCCAAATTAGCGAATACTATTCTGCGAATACAATATAGCGAAAACTATTTCGTGAAGATAAACGAGGTCAATATCGCGATATTTGCTAATAGTGACTATTTTATTTTGAGACATTTATTTTTATCATTATTAATGGAATAATATTTAAAAAAAATATGTACAAGTTTGATTCGATGGAGTTTTTAATTTTCTTTTAACCTAATGATCTTAGATTTGGTTTATGAAATTTATTATTGATAATAAATTTTTGCTATCCTGTAATATACTTTTCCTCGAAGTCTTATTAAGAATTACGACAAGGAAGCGCCAATATTTATTATCTAATATAAATTTATCAATCTGTTTTACTAGTCACTAACCAAAAACAGTTATAAGCTAAATAAAAACTATAACATTACTCATTAGACTATCTTTATCGGATTTTGAATGGCGATTCCAAACAATTACATCTAAATTATAAGGGATTTTCATAATTTCAGAATATTTTTGAAGCTTATGATTTTACGATCCTTATAGATATTTTTTTTAATCTTTTCTGTCTATTTAGATATAAAATATTAGTTACATTTTCAAAAAATTTTATAGGAATCTGAATCTAATATTTAGAAGTAGCCTTAAGCGCGAAGTTTGCCACATTGACGAGCACTAATTATGAAGCCTAAGCCAATATATAATGCTTAATTACAATACAGGTAGGATAGTACTTTGACATATATTTGTTTGTTTAATTACTCAGAATTAAAGCTACTTAAATAATTTTTACTGAATTCCTAAAAGTTGCCAAGTAAAAATTTTAATTTTCTCAAAATTGAATTTCTTAAATAATATAATATATTTCTCAGTAATTTTTATTTATAAGTTCATAAGAATGATTTTTTGAGTTTTCAAATTAATCATTACTCTATACCTTCTGGTGGTTTATGTCGTGACGTATGGGTAAACATTTCCAAAAAAAATATCTAGACAAATGTAACAAATATCTTCATCACTACAAATCATAAGGATGTTGAAATTTTTGAAATCTTTTTTTAAAAAAGGGAAGCTTTTATGACATGTGTTTGTGAGTTAAGGACTTTTGTGGGTAAATTAATATTAAATATTTTTTTATCTTTTAAATAAATGCATTCGCAATATATTATTTTTTCGTAGTAATGCGCTCCCGATAATGACTTCGCGCTATACATTCGTGGTAGAAAATTTGCTATAAAAATTTCGCTATAAAATTTCGCTATAACGGGTTCGTGATAAAAGTTTCTCTAAAATATATTCTCTCTAAAGTATTCGCGGTTAAGGTTTCTCTGAAATAAATTCGCGGTAATCGGTTCGTGATATTGTCGCTAAAAATGTTTCGCGGAAAAAATTAGCGGAATTGGTTTCGCGATGTTGCCTTCGCTATAAACGACATTCACTATAAAAGTTTGGCATAAAAGTGTTTCGCGATAAAAGTTTCGCTAAATTGACCGGATACGGTAAATTATGTTATGCATGTTTTCTCAATAAATAATTATTTATAAACATGAACAATTAACAAAAGAAAGAAAGAAGAAATTTTTTTTAACGCTAAAAAGTTTTTAAACGCTTCGTTCAGACCTTTAAGATTTAAAAATACTAAACATTTATTTTTAAAACAGATAACTTTTGTTTGCGGCATGGAATGGTATTCCGGACCCAAAGGACAAATAGCCTTCTTGTGGAACGATGGCATAATGTGTATTGAAAACGTGATACCCGAAAAGGAGAACAAAGAATTTACGATTGTTAATCAAAAGCGTGGCGATATTCGCTTCGTTGCAAGGGGACTGAATAATGCCATAAAATTTTCGAAACACGATAATAAAAGCTGCTTGGTTCGCGTGAACGACGGAAAACTAATGTTACTCGAGGTATAAAATGAAAGCTGGACATAACTAGAAATAAAAATTAATTAAGATAGTTTTGATAAATAAAAAAGTAGAAAGTAGATATATATAAATAAGTATGTTCTATACTGATATTTTACAATTGATTAATATGCACATATATTATTATGCGTAAAATGTGATAATCTCTACTAACTGATTTTAATATTAAATTGTTATTCACACACGACTAATTATGTTAAATCAATGGGTTTTATCCATAAATAATATTATGCAAATTAGAAATTAGCTATCCCCATGCAGGCCGATACGATTTTATTTTGCTATCCATACGGCCCTTAAAACTCCCATCAATTTTTTATTGCCTATAAATATCCCACTGATTTGTTTAGTGTAAAAGATTATGGGTATCCTAGGCTTTTCTCATCTGTTTATATGGATTTCTAAGAGTGTTTTAGCCTATGAAAAACCACTTCAATATTAATAATAATCATACTTATTAAAGTATTGATTGTCCCATGTTGACTGTTTTTTGCTTTTCCGAATATACAATGAAATGGATGACAACTGTTGGAATAAATGGGATTATTTGGGATCATAGCCATAATTCAAAAAGTTATAACCAATTCCTCGGTATTAACCTGTTGTTGCATATTCCTTCCCTGAAAGACCTCATGCCATTCTACTAATTTTTAAGATATCAAAGTGATCATCACTCTTCAGTCTCGTCTGTAAATTCTTTATAGGGAAAGCAACGAAACGAAATATTTGTACATTTATACATTTTGAGTCTCACTGAACTGAACCACTTGAGACTTTCAACTTCATCTGAAGATACTGAAGATATGCTAATTGGAATGATGGTAATAAGTTGATTGATCTGATCATGTGAAGAGAAAATGATGAATGCAATCTTTTTCGAAAAACTAATTGTTACCCAAACTGCTTGGAGTATTTTTTTTTAAAAAAAAAATAAGGTTTCAAGTTTGTAAATTACTTATGGTGACGAACTGTTTATTTCCATTGGATTTAGAGGGTAGCGATATCCAAATCTCAAGATGATTCCATCAATTATTCTTCTTCTCCATTATAAATTAAGCAAAGGCATAAACAACTTTTGATCTGTATATTTAAATAGTAAGATTCTCAATAAAACTGATTCTTTAGAACCTTTAGGGTTCTCAACATGGCAGATTATATGGCATCACGCCTTATGATATTCATCCGGCCGAGGAATAGGGATTACACAATTACCGTTATTCTTGCTGCTAGTAACTCGCTAACGCACAGAAATCCTTTAAAAAATAGTTATTTTCTCTTTTTTTGTAATAAACTACTTAAGCTAAAACTAGGCATATGAACCCTAATAAATGTTTTTAAAAAAAAAAAAATCTCCAACAAATCTTCCTCGCATTTAATTCAGATTTCTTCTCAATTCTATTGGCTCATAACTAACTAATCATTAATAAATATTTTTTTAAAAAATTCGACTTATTCAAAAATTCCCTATTTCTATTAAATCCCTCTGATCCCTGTTATTCCTATTGTTTCCGTGAATACCTATTAGGCATAATCTATATTTTTGAAAATATGAATCAATTAGAAATTAACCGTTTGTTTTTTAAAGGGTAAGATGTATATGATTCTCATAAGTATCCTAATAAAAAAAATAAAATAAAAAGTATAAGTACGAAACGAATAAAAGCCGTTCTAACGCTAATCACAACGGAGCTCACGTCGTACCTATGTATGGAGGCGAAAATGTAATCGTTAAATATATCACGGATTATTTGAACCAAAATATTTATCTAAATAAATATTTGGACTTGTGCGCTATAAAACTGGGCTTAAAACCAACCACTGAAAGGTAGAAGTGAATAAATAAGACTAATTATTTTTGATGTTTTTAAATATATTATATATTATAAAGTAAGTTTTTGAGCTAGATATGAGGGATTCATGAAGAAATAACGGCATAATTAAATCAATATTTTTTTTAATATTAAGAATTAAGATTGACAATTATTGTGAGTATTTTAATTTCTATTTAATTTTTTTTTTTGAAAATATAAAAAGCTTATTGAGCAGACACAAACTTTACCTTGTAGAATCCACGACTCCACAGGATTTATTTGAGCGCAAAGTTATTAATAATTTTTGAGATGCTTTCCTTTCCCTCTAATTATATTTTAAAATAAACAAGCCAAAATGCCTAAATTAAGTGTCCGATATGAGCAACATGTTTACCCAAAATCATTTATTATGAATCAGATTTTATTTACATGGTGAAGAATATAATTGTCATATTTGAACATTAAATGTGCCCACTAGTTAGTTTAAACTATCTTAGGGCATATTTTGACAACTTCAGTCATTGTGGTAAGGTGAATTAGGACTGATAAAAAAAAAGAGCGAAGAGCTCAGTGAAGAGAGGTTGAAAGATCTGGTTGCCAGTACCAGATATTTTTAGTTATAAATTTTTTTTTTTAAATGAACACTTAAATGTCAATACCCTTGATTATTATAAATAGATAGACAAAAAGGAGTTTGCGGAAGCGTTAGCACTAGCCAACGAATACGGGTTGGATAAAGATAGGGTTTATCAGAGTCAGTGGCTTTCATCACGAAAGGCTAAACAAGATGTTGACAAATATTTGGTAAATTTATATAATTGCAAATAAGTAAGCGGTGCATTACTTTTTAAGATAATTTTTTATTCATTCAATTACCACGCCAGTAATTACATAAAATGCATTTTCATCATCCCCGAAGAAGTTGAAACGTTCTATACCATTTTGACAAATATATAGTTCCCATATATTTTAAATATAATACTTAAAAATATATATTTTTTATAGGAAATGAATATTTAACCGCTTAAGAAATAGGGTATAATTTTGCATAAATTATTAAATGTAGCAAAATTACGATATTTGATTTATGAATCATTACACTAAAAATGTTAAGACCATGTCTTGATATTTATTTTGCTAAACAACTTTTGAACTAAAGACACCCTATTTGGTTTGTTTTAAGTGTTTAGTGGCATTTTTATTTTTCGTATTTTATTTCACGTTATTTTTTGTTTTGTTTGCCCTCTTATTTTCCTCTAACAGTTTAGTGATAAGTCCTTTTTTTTAAAAAAAAAAAATTATTTCAAAATCTATGTAATGAAGCGGGATATGGAATCTATAGGAACTTAGAATTTTAAATTATTTACTGATGGTGTTGTCTAAATTTTTTAAAATCTGATTTGACCTGCAAATGTATTCTAGCATGTACAGAAAACATGTACTCTTTTATTTCAAAGAATTTTGCCGAGAACTTTAAATTTACTCTTAATTTATATTAATTATTTTATAAATTTTATTGCAATATGATATTTTTTTTTAGAAAAAAATAAACAAAAATTTATTATATAATATAGAAGACCTAATCAAAATATGTTCTATATAATTTAGGACAAAATATCCGATAAGTCATGGGTTATAGACCAAACCTTAATTTGCCTGCCTTTCACGTTACAAGATACGGAAGATTTATTGTTGTACGGGCTAGGGAAATTGAAGATACTAAAGTTAATTATTTTAATTTATATATTAAAAAAAAATATGCAAACAGGAAGGGAAAATTAGGGTTTTTTTTAAAATATGTATTTTTTTTATTCTTCTATGAACTTCTTGAAATATCAATCTTTTATTTTTTTTCAAAAAACTTATGTTAGGTTGGATCGTGATGAAGGCAAAAGGACAAAACTAATAAATATACAAATTGACCATTTGAATGCTAGATTTTTCCGATATTTGTTTCGTTTGCAAATATACAAAGTTTTTATTTTCCTTCATGAATAATCTTTATTAGTTTATATTTAAATTTGTTTGTTTTTATTTTTCAAAAAAGAAACTATTTTAAAATTTTACCCCTTAAATAATCTATTGTTTCTTTTTGTTTGATTAATATATTAATTTACCTAATTTGTTTAATAAGTGTATATAATAATTTAAATTTACCTAACCTCTCATTCATAGTTTGCGCAAGTTCGCGGTGAATTCTGCAAAATAGTACTTTTGTGTATTTTTATATCATGCAAATTCGCGTTAACTGTGAATACAGGGTAATTTGTATTAGAATTTACCTAGAGCATTCATTTACAAAATTAAATATCTTCTTTTTCAAAAAAATATAATTTAGGAGCTTTTTTTCTTAAATCTTATATTTCTTTATTTTTATTAGAACCTTTTAAACTGAGTATAACATATTTTAACTACGTATTGAAACGTTCATTGTTAAACAACTTAAAATCTCCGAAATAGCTTTTTACAATATATAATATTTCGTAAAACATTTAATTAATTTAATAATCCCCTTCTAATTTATTATGCCTTTTTAAAAAATTAAATAAAACCTAGAAAATATTGGAAACTACCCAAAAACTGACTAACTATAACTCGGCATACTGGGGATATTTTAGGACGGCTAACATATTCGAAGCTATGGTCAATATATGCCAAACTAGCGATTCAATCCTAGCCGCTCAGACCTTAACTGTCATTTTGTCTTCCCTGAGCACTTACAAATGCGGGCACATTATAGAGCCCCATTGGTTGCTCATCATTTCCAATTTGTCGGAGAGTTTGCCCGTAGAGACGTTCGTTAAGTTATTGCCTTCTGGACATGTGTACGCGTTTTTTTTTGTTCTTGAATATTCAAATCTTTTTTTTAACCTTTTTATTTAGAAAATAAAAATGCGAGATAGGAAGGCAAGGAGAAGGGAAATAATCTTGGAAAAGTTTAATGTTTGGTTTTTGAAAAAAATAAAATATAGAGACACCGAGGGGCAGATAATATTAACAATGAACATTGACAATCATAACTATTTCGGATCCCCCTTCACTCCCGATTTTTTCCTACCTTGCATCGAATTGGAAATTGAGGACGATGCATCCATCCTTTATTCCAACTTAAATGATCAAGATTTAAATTTATTCAAGTATGAATTTATAATTTTATTTTTTAAAAAAATAACAGGGTACTTTGGATATAGTTACAGGAACATATTACCACTCTACAGGATACATATGACCACCTTCAAAAATGATTATTTGTCAATAGAAAAATATTTTTAATGAATAAGGACTAAGAGACATATACGCATAAGAACGATTGTTAAAAAAGATGTTGACATATTTTATAAGCAAGCTAAAATAGAAACTACATAAATATACTTTTAAAAATAATTATATTATTTATTTTAATTCTACGCTTTTTTTCACACTGTCTTATCTTTGCCTAATTTATAAGGTGATAATCTATAAATATTGCTTTTTTTTTTGGTAGATTTTTAGGTATATATATATATATATATATAATTAATATGTATAAATCCCTAAAAATTGATACACTTGTTCACAAATAAAGGCATAATTATTAATTTTTCTTTTTTGACATTTAAAATAAAGTTTATTAGTCACACACAACAGGAAAGTAGATAAGAAGATTACACTTAAGTCAGTGTAAAAGAAGAAAAAAAATTATATTAATTTGGGCCAAAAAATTAAAGAATCACTAATCAGCCAACCCATATATATTATTTTATTTTTATAAGTTACTTAATGTATATGCTTATACTTTTCTAAGTTACTTGATATATATATATATACTTATACCTTTATCCGCTAATTAGAAAAATATAAAATAAATAAAGAAGCTATCCCATAACACCAGCTACATTGTCAAAATTTGTCAAACACCGCGCCATTGGCATCGAAAAAATTTCTAGGCTTCCAGACATCGCCCTCAAACTCGTAGATTTTGGCATTAAAAATAATTTGGCAGTTTGTTATTTTTTATATATATCTAATTTTAATGCCTTTCTCTCAGCGGCTGGATTAGTAGCACCGAGGAAGTGAAATAAGGGTGTATAATTCGAAAGAACATAAATTAAAAATAACAATTTGTTCGCATATTTGCATACCGTAGAATTTAATTAATCAATTGATATTTTTGGGATATCCTTTACATATTATTAATCATAATTCTAGGTTTTTAGAATTAAAGAAAGAAAGATTTAATTATTAATTTATTTTTAAATTTGAGTTAATTTTATATCTTATTATTAAGGGTCTACAATCGATTAGACATCGGCTCAGAATATTGAATATTTTAGTTTACGATTGTCAATTAAACTCTAACTCAACCATCTCCAATCATAACTATAGTTCCGATTTAACACTCGAAGATTTAAATCGTATGGAACCTAGTCAAATAATTCAGATAGCCATGAGCGAAGGGGCGACATCCAAATTAGACCTTTTCCCTGATACCAACAAAAAATTAATCCCTGCCGGTTATGACAAGGGAGGCCGCCAAGATATTCAAAAAAATTACGCGCCACTTTCTGCGGAGAGCGAAAAATCTGTTAATTTTAGGCTTAAAATCAGAAAATATCTTCTACCTTTGTTGGACGAATACTACGAATTCAGCCTATACTTAGTTATTTCCACCTCTGACACGAGCAACAGAGGCGAAATTATTAATAATGACACGGCGAATAAGGATGGTGACGACTATGGATACGCGAAGAAAAATGAAGGAATGTTTAAAGACCCTTACGTCCTGAAATTGAATCTGCTGAATGATTACGTTAAGCATTTGGTTTCGAGCAAAGATTTCGATGCCATACATTTGGTTTAAATCTATCTTCATATTTTTTATTTTATTATCTCTTAAATAATACACCTAGTGTCAATGCCACTTTGAAATATATTATTTTTAAATAATTAAATTTCAAATTTTAAACGTCTTTTTCAATTATTTATTGAATCTTTGTAACCTAACCTGAACCCTTGTAAGAAATTTTAATACAGAACCCAACATGAACCATCATAAAGATGCTTGTAAGTTGTAACGTTAAGTATATCAAATGGTTTAATACTTTAATGCATATTATTTAGCATTGTAAATCTTAAATTAATTTTAAATAATGTTGTTAAAAGAGAGGCTAGAAATCTTATAATAAAACTGTGATATGATATCGTTATAAATATCCTGGGATAAATAAACGAATCTTGGAAAGAAGGAGGGAGAGAGAAGGAAGAAAAAAAAGAAGATATTTGCCTGTTAGCACGCACATTTATTCAAATTTATATTCTTTAACTCTTTCTCAAACCTAATGTTGCAATTAACAAAAAAATATATACTAACGCTAATTAGCTGGTGAATGATTTATTAAAACCATCCGACAATTTAACGAGAGACGCCAAAATTCGATTATCGTCTAATGACGGTTCTTCTCTTTTAGATGTCAAAATATTTTCTTCTCCCGATATCTCCACCATCGAGCCGCTAAAACCATCGGGGCAAGTAGCACGACACGTTTCTTATTTTTTTGAAGACTTTTGCCGGAACCTGTTACTAAATTGCATGATTCCTTACGCAGATTACAAGTACGCGATCATCTGCGGGGATATACTGGATATCTTAGAGAGGTACCTTCTTAAATTCGATATTTATCATCGACCCAAACTTTCGGCCTCGGATCCTAAAGCTATCAAAAACATTATCGGTGTTGGTTTGGAATCAACTAAACCCAAGTATTATCCTGACAAGACCACCAGGCATAAACTTTTAGACATCATTAAATGGATTCGGAATCAATTCAGGTAGATAACAAAATTACCATTAATATCTAATATGGCAAAAAAGAAAGAAAGATATTAGATGAATTTCATGTTTTTTATAAACAATTAAAATTTTTGCGTATCATTTCAATTATTTTGATAAAGAGAAAAGAGTTATTATTTTTTAATTCAGAGCCATGAAGATAATGAACAAATACGACATCAGCCTGGATGTTTCTCAATTGCAAAATATTAATCAAAAGTGTATCTCGATGGATGTCACGAGTCGGTGCATTCCATTTATAGATGAACTGGTTCACAAAATGGCCCAAAAATCATTACGCTTTCCTTTGTCCCGTACGTTTGAACATTGGGAACTGATGTATCATGGTTTAAAAAAAAATCATTATTTTATCTTAGCAATATATAAATATATACTAACTCACATAAAATGACTCTCGATTGTGGGATAATGATGTATAGAGTCGAACGTTATTATTTATATATAAATATTAGATAACGTCGTAAATTATCCTTGTATGCAAAAAATAATTGTTGTTTGAGTGGCGTGTATAGAACTTTAGAGATTTTAATTAAGGAAACACTATATTCGACCTGGGTTCGATCTCAGGTAAACCGATTTTTTTCAGAAGCTAACTTAAGATCTTGTACCAATGGCATGTATATATATAATGGCAGGTATTAAAATGGGTCTTATTACTTTTTAATAAAATTTGGGCGTGTTTAATAAATTGCTACATATTGACGTACGTCGTATATCATTACCCTCTATTGTGACCGACTAGGCCTTTAAATTTTGCAGTAAAGTATAACATCTTCAGATGTAAATTGGAAAATACTTACAAAATATTAAAATTAGATATATTTTTAATTTATTCTAATGTTACTATACAAGTTATCATATTATTTATTTTTTAAAATGTTAAATAATCCAATGTGACTTTTTTTAAAAATATATCTATGTTAAAATTTTTTTAAATCTATAAAGTTATTAATTTAGATGATTTTAAATAAGAGGGAGGTACAATCATTGCAATTTTACCATAATATAATTTTTTGTAAATTGATAAATTTCTTGATGTGGTTGGGGAGTGGCGTCACTAGGTGGCTCAAAATCTATTATTTTTAAATTCACTTAATTTTTTTTTAATATCAAGATGACCTTTAAAGGTATTTTTTTAAAAAATTCAAGTTTTTCAGAGGGCTCTGTTCCCTGTGCTCCACTCCCCTAATGCTACCGTATGACTCCACGTATTTATTTTTGAAAAATTTTAATCATATTTTATTTAAATAGATAATAATAAACTTTTTTGTTATAACAAAAAAAACATATTATTAGCAGTTATTTTTCGCACCAGAAAGTGATTTATTTTTATCCCTATTTTTTTATATAGATTTGATGCAAATAAACTCTCTAACACTGACTCCTTCAAAAAATGGAAATGGAATCCCTTTACCCGTCAGATCTCTCCTCAAATTTATGCTGAGCTCGGACGATACATTTAGCGATGAGTTTTCCAATCTTGATAATCCTAATTCTCCCACCGATTTAGATATCCAAGTCTCGACATATCACGAATCAGCTGTCACATTAGAAAATCAGCACTTTTTGGTGCCCTTAGCTAGAGATATTTACTGTCTTAATTTAGAGGAAGAGAAAGAAAATTACTCTAATCTTCAAGAAATGCAAAATTTGAGAATTTCTAAACTCAATGATATAAGAACGATATTGAGCGAAGTTGTATCAGAATATATTAATTCAGCTGTCGATTGTACCGATCGGCAGATAGAATTGGCCAAGTAAAAATTATACATAAACATTTTTTTAAAAATTCATTTTATTTTTTGAAATATTATTTATTAACCGATATAAACACGTAAGGATGCCCCGGTTAAGAAAGTGATTGCGCTTTATAAGACCGTTTTATACGAGAAATGTTATTCTAATTCTTCGTTTTATATATTTGTTTTTTTTTTCTTTAGATTTTGTCTCCGAAAATTTAAGGATATCTTAGCCAATCCCGATGGTGCTTTACTGGCTCGGTTAGAGATCGAAAAGGAATTGAAATTTTTGCGTGCCCTTGACATAATCAAACACGACATCAAGGCCGATTATTGTGTGCCTTTGCAACTCAGACTAGCGGCGCAAAAAGATATCAATGGTTTATTTATTTATTTTTTTAAAATATATTTTTTTCTATTATATTTCCAAGAAGGAAGGAAGAAAAGAAAAATAAATTAAATCATTTTACCATGAATAAACTTAAAATTTTTGAATTATGAAATAGATTTTCTTGCTTAATAAAATAGTGAAATTTTTACGAAAAAAAGTAAGCAATAATAAATTAAAATTTTTCAAATTATAATTAGAAATGGGATGTATTTATTTAAATTAAATGGGAAATATATAAATAATTTGGTAAGAATTGAAAATTTACAAAATTTTTAAAAAAAAAATTTAATGTAAGATTTTATACATGTTTTATTATAGAGTTGCGAAAGTTTTAAAATTTTGAGATTTTTTAAAATTATATTAAGGTCATTGCCTAAAAAAGATCTTTAATAAATGGCTAACGAAAACAATAAATTTTATTTTTATTGTTACATAATTAACTTTTTATGATGAAGTGTAAAAATCATCTGACTATTTTTTTATTTCAATTCTATAGTTTCAAAAAAAAAATTAAAACTTTATTTTAATGGATATCAAAATCTAGGTCTAAAACTCTAAATGTATAAAGTTCGTTACTCATTAGATCTATCCTTTCCATTTAATATATTGTTTATGGTCTAACTAAAGGATTGACAGGTTATTAATGAGAAGGATTAAATTTTATTATAACCCAATCTAAAACACGAATCCATATCTCTTAAACCTTTAAATAACCCTAACCAATATCTCTAACGTTTAATCCTACTCCTTAAAAATTTCTTTCAGTTGAACTTTGCTTGAGTTGAGTGATTATCATTATATTTTATTTACCATTGTTTACTTAGTTGTTAGATATTTTTTTTTAAAAAAAATGTATACTTTTTGGGGTTTTAATTTTTATATATTATTTTCTTTCACATTAGTTATTTTTCAATAACTTAATTTTACGCACCTCACCACCTCCTCTCAGATATGATGGGAAAATATATAATCCCAGCATATTTTTCGCGCAACTATCCATCCGTCAACGCTGATAAATTTTTCAGAACCTTAGAAAAACTGGTCGATTTGTTAGAACCTCTCGGGCCCCAGCATCCTCGCGGAAAAACATCCCTAAAATTTAAATTGTATCAAACTTTGGCCGAATATTCTTTAGTCAAATTAGAAGATATTAACCTGGCTTCTACCTATTGCCTCAAAATTAGGTACAATCCCTTATATTTAACAATAAGGAAGGAAGGAAGGAATGAAGCAAGGAAGGAAAGGTTTTATAATGCGGACAAATACGTTCATAATATTAAATTGAGTTGTTTAAATTATAGGACATTGTCAAAATTTCCAGAAGCCTAAAAACCTGGCCAATATTTCTTGTTTGTATGAAATTAATTTTATATATCGCAATATTATATAGGTCGCTTTATTACCGTTCTCTCGATAATGATACGGTTATTAAACCGGAAACGGATACCTTCAATAAAAAGAAAATTGAAGCGAGGGAAGAATATAGCGACGTCGATTTTTGGCTAGTTTGTTATCAGACCGGGTTTAAATTGAAAGAGTCTGGAGAAGAAGATTTGGATTTGATAGCGTTCGCGTTGAGCATATGTCCAGCCATTGAAATAAGCACTATTTTGGGAGCGCGTAAAACGTTGGATATTTATAAAGATTCGGGTTTGATTTATTATTTTATAAATCAAATCTAAAAAAAATAATATGTATAAAATGAGTATGATTTATTATTTAAGCAATGATTTCATCATTGATATTATTTACTGTTAAAGGCAGAGCACTTTAAGGAAATCGTGCTTTCAAACCTGAACGAACTTTATGATGCTAAGTTTACGAAATCATAATATATTTAATCTAGTTTTGGTTTTACATATCTAATTAAAGCTCTTTATTTGGAAATTGCTACTCTTAATACTTTTCCACGAGTTAAATAAAATATCATTTCTTAAACTTATGCGGAAAAAATATAGGCAGATCAGATAATAAAAAGTAATATGTTTCTTTTAAAAAACTATACGTGATATTGTTAAATATCAATAGGGGATCTAAAATTACCACTTTATACCAAAATATTAAGTTTCTGCTTAAATTATCTACTTTAACAACATAGAAAATGGCCACGCCATCTTCGTTATCATTGTTAAAAATGACAAAGATGTTCTTTAAGTTAAAACTTGCTTAAAATGAATACTTTAAATAATGTAATAATTCTTGTTTTTTCTTCGAACCTTGGTGAAAATTTATTGCATACTTTTAGTAATTTAAATTTACATTTAAAAAATTTTAATGATTACGAATTTTTGGAATCATCGCAACTTTTTAAATTTTTAAATTTCAAAGTATATTTTTTTTAGAAAATATTTGAGAAGATAAGACCATCCCCGGTCTCTCCCCTACTTACAAAACACGAATATGTTAATATTTCCTTATAAACATTCAAGTTAAAGTCGGCACTTTTGGAACTTAGTAAGTCACTCCTAAGGTTATAAAACAGTTTTCCAATGTCCATCGTCAAATCAAAGACAAAGAATTCGAATTACCTTGTTAAAGTGATAACTTTAAGCAAGTCTCTATTTCCACAAATTATCAACAGTTAAAATTTTTTTATTATTTTATCTGCCTAAGATATTTGCGCGAGTGTTCGAAATAATTACGCTTTAAAAGTTATTAAAAATGATATAATTTTTACAAATTTTGAAATGAAATTTTACAAAGTTTAAAATGTTTTATTAAACAATGCAAATAGATATTAATTTTATTTTTTTATGTATAGGCCTTGACGATTTAGATGACCAAAAAAGCAATTCGAAGATAGTAAATAATTTAAATAAATGAAATGATTTTTTAAGGGGGGATGCATAATGGGGGAACTATTAATTGCTGAAATCTAAATTATACAATTTTCTTTAAATATTTAAAACCTACGTTTTTTTAAACTGTACTTTTCGTTGATACAATTATCCAAAAGTCAAAATATTGTTCTCCAGCTCCTAATTTTACTATTTAGCACTCTTAAATTTTTTTTGAATAAAACCCCTATAAATAGTAAGAGGCACTAGTAGCAAGTCCACTGTATTATTCAATTTATAGATATAACTCGTATAATACTTTTATACAAAAAAAAATTTTGCAGGTAGAACGCGTGAGTCAGAAAGTATCCCACGTTTTCGCCTACATCTCCGAATTATCTCCCCGTCAGTCTGTTAAGCCCTCGATTGCTGATTTTAGCGACGCAAATAATAAGTGCTCCACTGATTTCGATTTGTATCGGAATGCTTATTTCCTTTTCATCGACGATTCCGCCGATGAAAATAATTTTAACGATTTGGTGGGTGTGTTGCGCCAGATAAGCGGCCTAATTAGTTTGACGTTCTCGACCTTGCAAGATAAACACGATGATAGTTTGTTTTCAGGGGACCATTCAAAGACGAAAGATGATCTAACAAATGTGACTCGAGAAGAGCGGCTAAAATTTAGGAGAGATTATGAAATATGCTTAGGAAAGTTCTTGGAAGTTTTGTTCTTGATCATTTGGAACTTGAGCACGAGTTACCTCAATTCTGACGGAGAAACTGTATCATTGATCCTCCCATTGTGTCACGTCGCCTTGTGCTTGTCATTGCAAGTAAATAGCTAAATTTTTTCAATTTTTTTAGGAATCACTTATTCAATCATATGTAAAATAATCATATTCATTCTTATTTAACAACATAATTATTTAAATAATTTGAATTTTTCTTAATCCTACAGAATAACAAATCTATAGATATCGAAAGTATACTCGCCAAATTTACCACTCTGGATGATCTATCTCCCCTAAGAAAACTGTGTTTACTCATCGCGATTCACTCCTATGCAGTCAATAATAGCACAAGTCAAAATAACCTAATATTTTCTTCTAGCAGCCATCATATCTTAGCATACGTGTCCAAAGCCATTGCTTTAAGTTTGGAGCGTGATAAGGCATCGGCGGCTTATGCATCTTCAAAAGATAAAACTTTGAATTACTCTTCTCCTCCTGGAGAAAAACTACTCGACTGCTTGAACCGTTTATCGCAATATCACGACCTCTCCCTATTGACCTCGTTCAATAAAGGTAAAATATAGTATATTTCTTATAAATTTATTCTTCTAAAATTAATGTTTAATCATTTTAATTCACAGTCTAATTATTCTTTTTCCCCATAAATAAGAAACGAACAAAGTTAATCTCATGTTAATTATATCACTAAAAAAATTATATTTACTGTAGTGCTCTTAAACAACGTCCAGGTTTATTAAGCTTTTAAAACGTATAGAAATGATATCGACACAAATTCTAAAAATGTCTATTGGTAGCGATATAAAAACTCATTTTAAAGTGTATTTTATACAGATACATTTAAAAATCGATATGTTTTTTTAGTATTAGATTTTATTCATCCTTAACATATACATATATAGTAATATTTTCAAAATAACATCAATATATAATATTATTATTTTATTTTATAAAACGACAACACTGTTTCTTCTGTGATAAATATATATCCAGAATATGCAACATAAATTTATCATACCCAACTTTATTAAAATACAATAATATAATAAATCTCAAGAGGGCATATAACAGGGAGACCCCTTAGGACTCGCTCTCTTTTGTATTGGTATCCAAAATATTTCAGGAAATTCAATCTCGCCTTAAATTCCTTGTATCGACAGCATCGTTGCTGGCAACCATTCCACAATCATGTTTATCCCACCCATAATCAAGAAATTCTCACATATTACACATCTTTCTCTCAATCACCTTAAGAATGAAATATGTTTCCTATCCATTCTATCAAACACTACGTACCACGTCATCAATAGGGAGGAGATGACATATCTCGAAGCCCCCGTCGGCGGAGAAAAAGCTATCGAAACATTTTTAAACAAATGCATCAGCTATTTGTCTAAATTAAGTCCATTTTTTTATCTACATTCCCATGCATCAATTTTTTTTTAAATTAAAAACCATTTTAATATATCCAACATCCTTTACGCCATGAGATCTTATCCAATCTTCAAATGTAACGATTTGGTAGCGTCTCATGAGACTCAAATCAAGAATCTCCTCGAAAATATATTGAATAAAAATAATATTCATCTTGGCTATAGTTCACTCCCTAGCAATTCAGGTGGCATCGGTATTCGATCTCCATTATAATTTAACCCTCCGTTCCGTTGAATGCTGCATTTCGAACAGACCTTAGAAGAAAACCCAAATAAATAATACTAAATGCAAACTTTGGTTATGAATGATTGGAAACCATCCTCAGTTCCAATCTCTACCTCCTCATGCCTAGTGAACAAATATGATTATCCATAACTCTTCGCCTTGGTTGCAATGCAGTTGTACCCTCCATAGGCATCGATTGTGGCCAGCCCATCTAAATGAATGCCTAACACCTTGCACTGCAAATTCTCCCACGGTTATCAACCCCGCCATAAATCCATTAACAAAATTCTCCTGCTGCTCTCAAAAAGTTAATATCCCACGTATGCCTTTCAAATAATAACGCCTTACGCCTAGAGGGCACATCCCTTATTCTCTGTACGGATGATCTCCCACTTACTTGTACATGCATTGATTTTGCAGCCAAGTTTAACCTATCATTTTTTGCCATGGAAAAGGCAAAAATCGTTATAACAAATAAATACGCTGATCTAACAAGCACAGTTTTTATACTGATCATCATCACTAACACTCTAGGGATGTTCGGAAAGACAATTTTATCAAAATCAAAAAAAGGAAACTCGTTATAGGTTTTCCCAACATAGGATTCTATCTTCGTCTGCTGATTTCTCTCGAAATCTGACGATCCGATTTCTTAAGCATTCATCCCTCTCTAGGATGGCTTCAGTACATATTTTTTTTAAATATGCGATTATGTGAAAATAAAATTAATAAATAAACAAAAAAATAGTATGAATTTGCATTTTTGGTATGAAAGCTTGTTATAAAAAAATATTTATATTGTCCATTTCTCTGAATTAAATCCGATATCAAATTCTATAAATCAAACATTGAATTTCATCCAATAATATTGAGAGTTATAAGTAATTTATACTTATTTTAGACAAAATTGGGTGATCTATTTTATTTTATTCCTAAAGTAAGTGTAAAAACTATTGATTTTGTTATTGATGGAATGAAAACCCTATTTTAAGGTGTAGAAAATCACTCTTTAAAAAAAATTTACTATAATATTTTACCCAATAAAAAACAGTGTTATGCCGCTAAAACTTTTGCTCAAATATTATCACAAATATGGAGGATTTTTTTTTAAAAAAAGGAGTTAAATCCATGAGAAATTGATGTGAACAAGTTTAATATGCACCGACTGCCGATTATTGGACAGCATATCAGAAATATAAACTTAATTAATAGCACTTTAGTCTTATATTATTTTTATCCAATCAGATAGATTATTGTATAATTTATAATTTTTTCTATTAAATTGTTAATAAATTTCTTAAAATAAAATTATCACCTTACAAGGCATTAACCTGGATTATTTTGTAAACGATAGAGCCTACATGTTGGACACTCTCAACGGATTAGCACTCAGCAGCGACGAGTTACTCTTCGACAGAACACTTGATTTGGCGCGTAAACTTAAAGCTCCCCTAGTTGATATTTACATCAACCATTTGGAACACCTATTATCTTGCGATGAGTTTTTAAAAAAAATATTTACTTTGTTTTTTAATTCATAATACCTACCCCCCCCCCTCCACCTCTCAAGCTGAACGAAATTTTCGAAATGATATTTCATAACAAATGATTTAGATATAATTTTTTAGCCTATCATAAAGTTTTAAGGTAGTCGATAAACGAAATTCGCTATTTCGCATTTAACTGAAACACGCCTTTACCGTTTTCTCATAAATTTAAAATTCCCACGATCATAAAATCATATAAAGTTGCGGATGTGTAGTGGAAGTATAGATAATTTATCCTTTACAAATACTTACATTACTAAAATAATTTGTTTAAAAAATTTAAACATTATTCAGCGTAGACGTTAACCATAAAACTCACGTTGTCTACGAAAAATTACTTCCCGTAATCTTACAAAATCTTGAATACAACAAAAATCTTGTCCCAGAAAAGGACGATTTATTGTTGAATTCCGAAATTGGCGCAAATCATAACAACCCTTTGTCCTTAGCGAATAATTTATGGAAAAACGTTTTACCCCTTATGGACCGGTCTGATCTTGGGGGACTCGCTTTATTTTTCGATTCAGTCAAGAAGATTTTGATCTTCGCTGACGGGAACGATCAATCATTAGTTCCAAAACGTCTGTTGGACAGGTTGGATCGCCATATTCGTGCGCTAAAGAATTGCCAAGAATTAGAACAACTCGTTAATAATGGTAACAAAGGAGTTTACAAATTAGACTATTCGGCCGTTTGCGATCTCGAGAAAGAAGAACCTTCCACGTTGGAAACTCTTCTTTATAACGAGCCATCCCAGGAGCCTAGCATTAACACAATATGCAACGAATCAATCCATAGTCCTCCTCGAATCTCGGAATCTCCTGTTCGTGACGCAAAATTATTTACCACTTTGAAAGGCTTAACCAGGTTTTATATTCTCAACAGAACGGCAACCGAATTGTCTAGCAAAGTTAAAGAAGATCCACGGACTTTCCTTTCTAAATGCGTTTCTTTTGCTTCTTCCGATTTTGAAAACCTTCAAGGAAGTCGTCAAAATGTGCCTGGTCTCGTGTATTCGACTTGGTGCATCGAATCTTTTTGGGCGGCGGTACAAAAAAAGTATATGTCGCCAAATAACAATCGCTCCCTATTGAACGAAAAGGATTCTTTAAAATGTCTAAAACCGTGTTTTTCTTATTTGCCCTTGCTGATGCCGCGTAGAAATTTGATGTTGACTTTCGTAGATGACTGCTTTTTCGGCTCTGATCGGAAATTGGCAGGGAGGGAGGATATGATTTGCAGAGATTTCCTATCGCTTAGTGGTCGCCTCGCATGTTGCAAAACCATCTTAGACTTTGTTACCAGTTTAGGAAGGTTTTATAGGAATATTAAATTGCATTCTTTAACACATTTAAGGATAAAATATAGAAAAAATTGTTATTTTTTACTCTCTATCTCTGATATAATTTAACTACTTTCAAAATAAACTTACAATTATCGATTATCAATGGAGAAAAAAATGCTCAAATTCAGTTCTGATAGATTTTTTTTGAAAATAAATATATTTATATAAGCGACAGTGATGCCATTGAACCCGACCAAAACCTATTGATCGAGGAAATTAGCAAGAGAATTCAACATTTGGAAAGCTTGGATGACAATGTCTTGATATACCTTAAATCCAATACCGATCCTAGGATCAGGGATTATGAATTATCTTACGATTTGACTGCTGGTGATGAAAAAAGAGTAAAATTTTTATCTAATCTAGATTCATTGATATTTTTCTTCTTCGTAAAATTAGATAAAAAAAACTCTCGGATAGAACTTCACTGCTATTATTATTTTTTTTAATAATAAAAAGGTGAAAATATGCACCAATTTACTTTCTATTTTTTTAAACACAATTCTTGACAGATGAAACAAATCTTGATTAAAATGTTGATGAACAAAATGAATGACAGTTTTATATTCGCGGCCCTGGCAAATTTCATTAAAAACCGCATCGAATCTTCGACAAGTAGCAAATTCGATTCTTCCGCCTTTATTAGCCAAATCGTGTTATCAGCTCTCTCAGAAATATCTTCCTCCATAGAGTAATATTGTCGTTTTTGTTATCCATACATATTTTAGTGAGATTTTTTTAAATGTTTGATTCTGGGTTGGGTAAATAAATTTTGGCCCGCTATTCATTGAAACCTTCAAAGATTACCTCCTCCCCTCCTTCTCTTGCCTGTTACCTCTATCTGTTGACCAAATTGTAATTCAGTAATATATATATTTTTAATTGATTATCCAAACTACGACCATTTATTTCTGAAATTAAAGTTTAATTTTTTAAATGTTTAAAAAATCAAAACAATTATTAAAATGTGGAGATAATAAAATTGAGAAAGAAAGTAAGAACGATAAAGAAATAAAAATTTCAATGATTTAATAAATATATTACATAAAATTTCGAAGGGATGACATCTTTAATCTTTCCCCCCTCTACAATGGCATACCATGGAACTTGGCCTTTTTTAATGTATTGGCTTACCTAAAGGATAATGAAAACGATTCATTACCCGATATATATTTCCCTTGTTTGGAGGTCAAATTTTTCGGAAATATCAAACTTGATATAAACGAATACCGGATAAAATCGTTGGAAATTTTTAATCAAGTTAATAATAACGAAACAAAAACAGCAATTTTAATTTATATAACGTTTTTATATGTTTCATCCATTTGAAATTCTATTTTTTTAATTGTTAAATCCTGAGAAGGTAACATTGTTTTTTCAATTTCTTATATATAATTTGGAAGGCCATTGATCTTTTAGATTAAAAATTATACTTATCTCTTCTCAGGTATTTAATCGTAATCATACAGACACTCTTTTGGAACCTGACCCCAGAAAGGCTTCGAAAGTTTTCTCACTCGACCCAGATAACACTTACTCATTATATGCGTATTACAGGACTCTTTCGACCTTGATCAAAATTTCGCAAGCGTTTCCTAAATCCTCTACCAAAAACACCTTTGAATTAGTAGTAACGAAAGATGATCCATATCGCTTCGATGTCAATTATCCTACTGAATCCGTTGTTAAAAATGAGAGTTATAACGATAGCGTAGATTCTGAAAAGGAAAAATTAAACGATACCCCCGGTGAAAAGCATAATTCTACTAAGCATATATTAAAAATTGTTGTAACGCCTTTTATATTGCTAAATTTTGACTTCGCCTTGACCTTAGCCAAAAAATTGATTTCCATTTTCGATAAAAAATTTACCTCTGCGCAACAATATTTTGAATCCATATATTCTATCGGCCAATTATTTGAAGCGTGGCCCGTTATGAGACAAAAGTAATCGCTTCTTTTTCATTAATTATTGTTTTTAAAAAGTTTGGTTTTTTTTTAAAAAAAGTTGCCACTTAAATTGGGTAGATGGAGGGTTTTTGGGTTTAAATGCCTTAGTCACGCCTGATAGTTGGTTAGATCATCTACTTTAACATAATTTAAAATTAAATATAAAATTATATATTTTTTTTGATAAACTCACTATTGATTGTTAGGATAATTTCATAAATACATTCACTGCGCAGGCAAAATTATTTTATATTGATATTAAATTAAGAGAAGAGCTCTGTCATTGATGGGTACCCATCGATCCCTGTTTTAAATTTTTTAATCACTACCCATCCTTTCACGAGGCATGGAGAGTTAAACTAACCAGATGCATAGTTCTAAATAATTGAACTCAATTTTAATCGTTACCGTTTTATAACGCTTGATTTTAATGTATTTATTTTAAATCCAAGGCAGACATCATATGATTGACAATGTTTTAAAAATATGTCAGCCTTTTATTTAAATTTCTAGCTCTCGAAATACCTTATGAGGAGTCAATTATTATTCATACTAATTTTTTAAAAATTCCACTTGGATCAAACGTACACTCCGGTGTGATTGACGGCATCATAAATTAAGATTCTAAAATAAAACCAGTGAAAATATTTCGAGATTTTGAAGATTTTACCCTCCCCCCCCCCTTACTTTTTATTATTTTAAAAGAAAAACTCATGTTAAATAGGCTCAATGATTGAATATCAGATATAATTAAATCGATTACATACTAACAACTACTTCTTTTTTCTTTACAAGGGAAACAACTTTTATTCATTAAAAAAATTAATTTAAGTTTCAGTTCAGTTAAAAATCATATGTATTTATTTTTGCTATTTAAATTTCCTATTCAACGACTTTCATTTTTTTTTCCAAAACTCTTATTATTTATATTATATACCACGTTGGGGTTTAATCAGGTTGGAAATAAACCCTGGTGTGGGGGGGGGGGTATATTTATTTAAAATTTTAATTTTTATAATTCGATTCATCATAAAGGGAGGACCAAGCCGTTTTAGATTTGTGGATCAAAATTTGCAAAATCTGTTGTGATAACATATTTTGCCCACCTCCATCCCCTTCCAGCTTGAGGGAACGAAAGCTCAAACTGATTACCTTGGTACAAGGTCTCGAAAATGTGTTAGGAGATGATTATCCGCTAACTTCTCTATTAATTGCGTATTGTGTTACTTTGTCAGAATCGAAAAATGACTACCAGATGACTAGTAAAATAATCGAAGAATTTAACGATGGTGAAAACGAGGATGACTCCCGATTTTATTATCGTGATTTAAGAGACAAAAAATTTGAATACCTGAGATTGGCCATGTGGCTGGGGCTAACATCTGATTCGCCGGAATGCCAATCATTGGCTCTCGAATTAATGGAAAAATATTACGGTTATTATTTTCAAAAAAAAAAATTTTTTTTCTTTTCATTTACATAATTTTATATAATGCAATTACGATGTCAAATATAAGTAAGATACCAAATTTGTTATTTTAAATAAGACAACAATAAAACAAAATTAATGCTTCTCAAGGTGTCTGTGATATGGTAGTTTGATAAATACCACGAATAGAATTATAATGATTTGTTATATTTATTAAATATTATATGCTAAATTTAAAAGAAAAATTTTAGGTCCAAGCCTGGCCCATTAAAAAAAATTATCCCCAGAAAATTCCCGGCTATGCGCCTGTAATTTTTTTTATTTATTCATTACTTTTCTTAAATTCTCAGATTTAGGACTGGCGAAAGTGATTAAGAATTAATAAATACTACCGACATTAAAAATTAGCGCAACCAGTCATAGTGCTTCTATATTTTTACCGTTCATACACGATTTAAAAAAAAATGTATTTGATGTATGAACAATCTCACGTTTAAGACATAACTTCATTGTTTTTATTTTGCCTATATAGTTCGGGTATCGTAGGGTTAAGTCGGGTCGATATCCGATTAAGATTTTAGCAGGAATAATATTATGTATGCCTGAGATTTGGCAAATAGAAGTTCAAACCTTTCTGCCATCTATGAGCGAAATCCCCAGGCTTGCATAATATAATTTAGGCTAAAAATCTTAGTCGTTTTTAAAAATCGACCCGAATCGGGTTTTTTAACAACCCTACGTAGGGTGGATACCATCTATTCTCTGCTATATAATCAATTCATTTTATTCGTTGCAGTGCCGGTTTCGGGTGTTAGAATTGTAGGTTGTCTAAGAAGAGATAGATTCTTTTTTTCAAGGTGCGCCTCAGAATAGAATTGTAATTTTTAAAAAATTTGCATTGCCCAAATCCCCGTTTTTTTTCTTTGACCTTAGGTCGATGTCAAAAAACTTCCTTGGAAAGAATTATAATTCATGGTAAAAGGAATATTGAGATTAGCTCATATTTATTAGTATTTTCTATTATAAATGAAAGAAAATAAGCATTTTTACAGACTGGTATCCGATTCAGCAAAATGGTATAATACAATTACACTAAGAATAAAATATAATCACATCTGGGCATTATCGCGAATACTACTATCTAAGATTCTTTTCTATCTTTATACTCTTTATTTTTTTAGACATTTCTATTTAAATATTTATATGCATATCAGATACTTTATATTCAAAAGAATCGAATCTTTTAAAAATTCATATATTTTGTATATTTAAATAATCTCCATTATCGTTTTATATATTTAAATTAATCTGCATTATCGTTTTATATTTTTGTTTTACCAACTTTACTGTTAAATACAAAAAATCAATTGGAATTTTATTTATATAGTCAATTCAACAAAAATTATAAATTAAAACAACAAATCTACAAAATATTTTAAATTCTAAACCAACCACATTGAATGTTACCAAAAAAAACATACTACCAAATTTGATAAGTAGTTTATAGTTTAATTGTAGAGTCTGTTGGACTTATTTTGAGAAAACGCATATTAATATAGATAATTAGAGATGCTTTAAATCGAAATATTTTTTTAACAAAAAGAGCTGAAAATGTCTAAGTGAGTTAAACTAAACCTATTAATTTAAATAAATTGTACTTGTTCGATTAATGACCCGCCTGTTTCCAGTTCTTATCCAGAAGGATAATTATTAAGTATACCGCTCGATTTATAGATATGATAGGATTGTTAAAATATTTATGTTTTATAAGAAAGTGCAAATATTTAATTAACAAAATTTACGTAATATTTCTTTTTTAAAAGAAAAACAAATGTCAGATAATGGAGATACCTCCGCAGTTGACCTCTCCAGCCACAAAATTATTGATAGGAAACCATTGAAAGAAAAATCAGGAGGAAGTCATTGTTTATTGGACGAATTTTTGATTCAGATTTTACTGGAAAAAAATTTACTGATAGCCGCTATCAGATTATGTTCACAGGCCGATTTCCAGGTTATTCGGAAACACTTTATCGATACGTTAGATAATTGCGATGATAAGGAAGCCATATTAGGTTTAGTATTAAATATATTATGTGCAACTAAATGGGGATGGGAGAGATTAAATAAGTGTGAAGAAGAGGGTAGAATCATTTCTCAATTCCATGTCACTTGATATATAATATTTCCCTCTTTTGTAGAAATTGAGTTAAGATCTCATTTAAGCCAATTAAAAAGCTGTTTTATAAATACAATCATAACATCTTTAGAGGAGTAAAGTAATATAATTTATAGTATATTAGTGATTAGACTTCTTTTAAATTAATTATTTATAAAAAAAATGTATTTATATTTAAAATAATTATATATTTATATTATTAAAATTCCTTTAAGTAACTATTACATCACTTTATATTCAAAAGTTCCTGGGGAAAAAATTAACCAATCCTATCTCTTAGAAATAGATCATAAAATGAATTTTATTCTAAATAATACTTATGCAACCATTAATGACTACGTTTTCCTAAACAGCTAGCTCTAACATCAAATCAACGATACATCAACTCAAGGTCATAGGTCTCGAGGAACGTGCTATGTCTCTCAAAAATTTGATAACCGCTCCTTACGAAAAGGCTTATACCATTTCTGAGAGATCGAATAAAGAAAACGCCTTTCATATTGGTCATCTAGCCAAATCTACGGCCACTTCCGCCTCTCAATCCTTGCTTTCTTTAGTGGGTAAAAGGTCATCCCTCTTTTTCGGTAAGGAGGATAATAAAACGACCCAGAAATAGATTATTTTGGTTTAGAATGTTTAATTTTTTTTCCGTTCTGTTTTATATAAATTTTACCTTACGGTATTTTAGTTTTGTTTATAAAAAAAGAAAATTTAACCCAACTTTATGATTGATATGATTAGTACCGATTAACAAATATATATAGATAACAATTTTGTAATAGGACATTCATTTTTTATTATTTTTTGACTCTTCAATGATGTGAATTATTATAATGTATTATATGATGTACATTCATTGACTTCTTATATGCTGTTGTCTAAGTTATGAATAAATATATAGAAAACCACCACGTCTACCAAATTACTATCATCAATCTCACAGATTATTATCAAGATTCCCAGTTTATTATCATGGTGGCAGCGTTGGGATTGGTTATATTCATAGATGGTATATCTGATTGATCTATACATTTTCAAATTCCGCGTTCCCTTTGCGATGTACCAATTGGAAACACAAAGCACACTCATTCAGAGAATGTATTGTTTGTAGGGCTGTGCCGATATTTCGCTTTTTATCGGATCGGGCCGATACCTGTAAAAACCTGCGATCATTTTACTTTTCTTTTCTTTTGTTATTTTATGTATATTTATTTTACATTAATAATTTTTTATAAATAAATTATTTTTAAACAAATGCACAGCCCCCATTAAATTTTATTTATTTTTTTAAATAGATTTATAGTATTTGAAAAGTTTTTTTATAAAAATAGAAAGGAACACCCAAAGTTATATTTATTTTAAAACTTTTTATATCCAATTTTATTATTTATAAATAAAAGAATTTTTTTAAATATGGTATCTGAATTAAGGAAATATTTTACAAAAAAATAATTTTGCAAATCTATGGAATTCTAATTTCACGGGGAGAAATAATGAAAAATTTATTTAATACTACCAATATCCGTAAACTTTTTTTAAATATTATAGAAATAAAAAAATTAAATTATAAATGCATAATTCGATTTTTTACATAAAGAATATTGATGCATTTGGTTCAAAGAGGAGTGGTGAAAAATCAATATAAATATCGGTATCAAATCGGTTTTGAACCAATATCGGATCGGTGAAAAATATTTGGATCGGCACGGCCCTAATTGTTTGAGCATCCTTTAAATCGAAAGACATTTTATTAATACTCAGAAAAACATGCGGGAAGAATAATTTGCTCCACGATAAGATCAAAAGAGTTCCAAAAGTATTGAGTAATTTGCCTTTTTGAATGAAATATTACTAATTTTCGGGTTTAAAATTTTCGTCAATCGTTATTTTTCAAAAGGGAATCCGAGATCTGATAAACTATTCTATCGTTATTCAGGAATTGCACCTTAAGTGTGGGTTCCATTTTCTTATTGAGCACGTCTCATAGCCCTTACAAGGTTGCTATTTTAACGCGCGAATCGTAGATTTTCTCGTTACTTCCGATGGATGGGGATGAGAATGCTATGGTTTTGGAAATTAGCTTCAGCGTTTTGTCGTTGATAATTAAGTTTATGTCCAGCTAGGAGGAATAAAGGCCTATCACTTAGAAATCCGCGGCGCAAAGTTCGTCATATCCATTCGATATAAAGCAATAATTTGGTACAATACAATTTTTGAAGCATCAAGCAATCTCATTTTATCTTAAATAGCATTGTTCCTCAACATTTCCTTTTGGATAATATACAAATTTCGATCAGCAATTTTAACATTTAAAGTTTTCAAAATTCGTATATATAAATTCAGGATAAATTTAGCTGGGTAACTATTATTATAGCTTGATATATAAAGACTAAATTATATAAAAATTATCTAAAATATTTGATTGCTCTAATATATAATCATTTAGGAAGAAAGTTGTAAATAATTGAGCAAATTTGTTTAAAATGTAGAATTTTTCTGCAACATTTTTGTCCAGATTTTTATTAAACTGCATCCAATCATAAATAAACTTTTTAATAGATTCTTTTTTGCAAAAGCCAAATCAAAAAATATTTTTGATATAATGGTCTCTATTTTTAGATAGAGAAACAATGACTGATTATAATTAAAAATGGATTGAAAGCGTATATTAAGTGCATTAGAATCATTTTTTAGGCTCTCAAAATATTCCAACTCCAACATATTCATGTTATAAAAAATATGAATTACAATGTGATTTTGTGAATGTATATTTTCCAGAGTTGTTAATCGCTACTTTTAAAAGTAGCGCGCTACCGCTAGCGCTATTTGTCAAAAAATTAGCGTGACCTCTATCGCTATTTGTCAAAAAAAAAATAGCGGGCTATTAGCTATTATTTTTTAAAAGTAGCTTTAGCTACTTTTTAATCTACTTTTTATAAAAAAAATTTAGAAACAAATTTGTTTTATTCTTTGCTTATAATGTTATTGTATAGTAAATATATTATCAACATTTATAAATATTAAAATATAGTTAGTTTTGATTATAAAAAACTTTATGTAATAAAAATAAATATTTATAGTAATTTGTTGCATTTTATAAGTTTTTACCTAGTGTTATGTGCCCAACTATCTGTCGTGGTAAATGTACTATATGATATATCTGATAACTCTACTACTAAAGCATCTTTCATCACTATAAAGTTATCTGCTATTTTATTCATCAGTGTCTGGCGACATAAAATTGTTGTACCAGGAGATAGAGTTTTAATCATCATAATAAATGATGGATTATCAACCAAGGACATTGTCTGAACTGTATCAATTATAAAATCAACAATAACTTTATCAGCCAATTTCTGAGAAATATTGGCATTTGTATTATTAATTAATTTGGTTTGAATTGAATTAGTCTTTTTGGATGTAGAGTCGCCTATACCAAAATTATTTAGATGTTTCTCCATTTCCTTAAAACTATCATAAACAGTCTTATAAATTAAATACTATTATAATGTAAAAATGACAATTTACCTTTTGGTGTTTCTTGATGTTATAACTAGATTGATATGAGGAAATATTTTTGTTACATTTTAAACAAATAAATTTGAAGCGTTTTGGATTTATATTTATTTTAAAAATAATTTCAAATCTAGGGAATGGGAAATTTGTGTTATAGCTATTAAGAACATTTTCTTCCCTTGTATCTTCCATTTCATTAATATCATTGTCTGACTGAATCACTTTCAACGATTTGGATATCCATAGGCGATGATATTTTAAATTATTAACAAGTGATTTAGGTTTATAATACAAATGAAAATATAAATTATAAATTGAAAATATATTTCAATTTCAAAATTAAATAACAAATTATAATTAATTATGATATTATATTTAAATTTTTATGTTTATACTTACCTAAAAAGATAGCGCGCTATTTAATTTCTTTTGTATATATAATTTTTGAAGTTAATTGTAATCATTTGTAAATTTAATAATTATTTAAAGTTCATAAAAATTGTAATTTAAATTATCGGATGATGCGAATTTCAGATAAATAAACAATTGTATTCGTCATCACTTGTCACTTTTTTAATTTTTCTTTTAATTATTTTTTATTTTAAACTTTAATTTTATAATGTTTTACTGTATAAATTATTATGGTAAGTTATGAATAAAGGAAACTATAAATTATGTTATTGTTTTAAATTTAATATTAATTATTTTATTATCTTTTATTTAGATTACAATAATTCAATTTTGCTTTTAAACAATCACGTTTAATAATAAACGATATTATGATTAAAATGTATACTATATAACAGTGACGAAGCGTCAAGTTTACTACTAGGAAAGCAATCAAAAAAATTTTTTTAATTTTACTTCAGTCAAACTTAAACCATAAAAACATAAGATTTATAAATAAGTGGTATTCGTCTTTGTTTTTGAGTAAAATTATCAAGTACTGCATTATAAAAGTTATCGCTAGATTTTAAATTTTTTTCATAATTTTTTTTCAATCGAAATCAAAGAAAGATTCGATAATCGATTTTGGCTCATCCTGTTTCTGTAATAAGATTTGATTTTTTTTAAAGATGAAAAACTCCGTTCTGCGCTTGCTATTGTTAAAGCCAAAGTTATGATAAATTTGCATAATTTAAAAAACTCTTAAACTTTTCATCAAATCGGTGCATATTAAAAATTCAAGTATTTCATTAATATTCTTTTTCTTTCTAAATTCAACATCCCGAAACACTACCTTTAATTCGGTTTCCAGCTGTGTAAGTCAAAAAATTGAGAATAAGTGTCGTTTAAATTATCTAATAAATATTTTGGGAAATTGATTATTTGGAATTTACTAATATCTAACAATTCGACGAATTTAATATTTTTTGGTGTAAGACATATGAATTAGAATTAATCAAATCATTTTGAATGATAGTACAATAAAAACTACACTATTTCTAAATGATGTTTCAATAGTAAATTTTTTTCCGCAAGTAAATAAATTAATGCAATATAATTTCCTATATTTACTGAATTAGAAGATTCATCATCACCACGCAATACGAGCTCCTGAATTCCAAGAAAACATATAGAGTTGATCAATATTTTCAATATTTCTCTATTTGATTTGACTTTAGAATTATGCTGTTCGATTGATATTTTGCTCATCGAATCTATCATATTTTCAATACAATTTTGGCCAAATGTTTTAAATTGAATCATCGACTGCAAATGAGCGGTTGATTCTTTGCCGTTTAACTGCCTTTGAAAAATTATTCAAATCTGAAAATCCTTTATCATTCTAAGCATATTTTTCCTTTGGAAATAATAGGTATGACCAACAATATAGAGAATTAGAAAATTCCAGCGAGCCATTCATAATTTTCATATTTATCGATAGAAAAATTACGGATGCAATAAGTTTTGTAAAATTGGTTTTTCTTTTTCAATAATGAATTTTTTCGCATCAAAATTTCTTGAGCTAAGTAATAATGTTAATAAATTTTCAATAATACAATTAAAATTATTAAACATTAATTAAGGATTTTAAAAACGAAAAATTTTTTATTTTAAAAAAATAAGGAAAAAAATATTATATAAAAAAATTTATTAAAAAAATAAGCATTTTTTTATTTGCTTCCCTAATGCTTATTTTTTAATGGTAAAATTACACAATACCATGGCATGATTTTCTCTTTATTTATTAAAAAAAATTAGCAATATTAAATTTGCTTCCCTCATGTATATTTTTTTAAACGTAGTAAAAATAATTAGTAAAATTTTTAACGTAGTAAAAATAATAGTACTTTTTAACGTATAAAAATAATAATATTTCTTAATATAGTAAAAATAATATTAATTTTTTAACGTTATAAAAATTATATTAATCTTTTTAACGTTATAAAAATTATATTAATCTTTTTAACGTTATAAAAATTATATTGATTTTTTTAACGAAGCCAGTTTAGTTTATTTAGCATAGTATAAAGATTATATTAAGTTTATTTAAAAATTTTGTAAATTTCAAGGGAAGCAATGCTTCCCTTGCTTCTATAGACGCTTCTTCGCTGTTATATAATCTTAAGAGCAATATATTATCTATCGTCTATATGTATTATTAAAATTGTATTCTCTTCTATAAGTGTGATTTAGATCGGTTGGGAGGCGTCTATTTTTATATAGGGATTATTTTGAATAAAAAAATCCAATTATATTTATTAGAACATTATAAGCCACGACTTTACTCATTATCACTATTGACAATATGGAGATGATTGACTTATTTTTTGTAAATTGTAAGACAGTTTTGAGTGACAACAGGTTCTTAATTTAACATAGACAATTTATTTATTTAGGATTAACATTGTTATATAAAAAAAAGCGCCATGATATCCAACAAGTGTTGTTAGACGGCTCGATTTAAACCGATTTTTAAAAACGGCTGACTCAATATTTTAGTCAAAAAAAAATTGCCTAAACCTCGAGATTTCTTTAATAAATAACAGTTATGCCACTTATGAACAAACTCAATTTATTTATTTAGGATTAACATTGTTATATAAAAAAACGCGCCATGATATCCAACGCTAAAGGGCGATAGGTATCCGAGAGTTTTTCATAATTCTTATTTTCATTTTTTTTAAAATTTTATATTAATTTAAAAAAACAAAATGATTTTTTCTTGAACATAATTTAGTTTTTAGCCCATAAGTCCGTCCACCCAATGTTTAAAAATTTTTTAACCCTCCCGCGCAGTCCGCCTAAAAAATATGCCGATCAGCCCGCCTAATAGTTTAGAATTACTTGCTCGCTCTTTAGTCGAATTTTTTTTACCGCCTGCCAATTTTATATAGAAAAATTTTATCACAAGCCCGCCCATATAAAATTTAATTATGGCCATTTTTTCAACTTTTGCATCTAGTAAAAAAAATAATTTAAGCATTACAACACCTCTACAAAAAGTTTTATAATTTATGATTTTACCATTTTAAGAATCTTTTATATTCACAGCGGCCTCGTAATTAGAAATGAAATTGTTAATGTTAATGATACATGTTCATTTATAAATTAAATTTAGTTAAATTTTATTTCTTATTTTTAAATTTTCCATCATGGTTAATAAAATTTCTTAATGAAAAAAGCGATTAAAATACAAAGATATCAAATTTTATATATACCCCAATGGTAATCTCCATAAATGACCACTGTTCGATTAAAATTAAAAATTTATCTAATTCTTTAAGATACACAAATCCTGATTTTTTAAATGAATGATAGGTGTCAAATGTTCTGTCATACTTTTTTATATTAGTCGCATAATTTATATCTATGGCTGGAGTGTTATTTGAAGATATTTTTGATGTGAAAGACATTGATCCTGATGGTAAAAAATTTGATAGAGTATCTAGAATATTTTGTGAAAGCGAATCATTCAAAATGGATTTGATTCTAGATGTATATTCTCAAATTTATCCCGTAGAACTTGCTGATAAATTTAGATTAGTAATTGCAACTACATTAAGAGAAGATGGTCTTCTAGATGACGGTGAATATGATCCTCTTACGATAGGTATAAGCAATTCGATTTAGTTATGTAACATGCATTAGATGATATATAAATATTGCTCATCAAGCATTATGTATTAATTAAACCTTGAATCACTTTTGGTTTTATTATTCAATAAAATAAATCTCAATTTTTTAAATTGTATACATAATTATACCAATTTAAACAAAAATTTATTTAATTCATTAGGATCTTAATATAAACCATCAAATTCTTCCATACATAATTATAGTATCATCTAATTGATAAAGGACAATATCTGATTTTTAAAAAAATGACATAAGACTGATATTATTTATAATAAAATATTAATTTTGCTTCCTATTGCATATAAATTGAAATGTATAAATTCAATTGTCTATTTTGTGAAATGATGTAGATAAATTATATATATTTCCTAATTATTAGGTGAAGGCCCTGATTCAACTCATATACCAAGCAAGGCAGATGCCTTTGAATATGTTATGTATGGCATAATTTATAGGATAGATGGTGACGAGACCTCAAATGAACCTGCTAGTCATCTGTCAGCCTATGTGTCTTTTGGTGGCTTATTAATGAGACTTCAGGGAGATGCAAATAATTTACATGGGTTTGAATTGGATGATCATGTATATTTACTTATGAAAAAATTAGCCTTTTGATAGATCACACATGTTTAAATGTAAATTAATATGTTAAATATTTATTAAATATAATGTAAATAAAATTTTTTTGATTGATTGAAAATTTTGTATAATTTGTGTCCTAGAGCAATTTTATTTTTTCTAAAAAATTAATTATTTTCATTGTTTATCATTGTGGGTAATTATTCATAATTTTGTTTGTTAACTTATATTGTTTATTTATTCTATATAGACTTGCATTTTTGCATCTCATAATTTTCAAACTAGAATTCTACAAGCTCTGAATTAACTTGTTGAGATTATAAATTAAGTTTCATTGTTCTATGGGAGAAAAGAATTGTGAATAAAAAAAAAATCATTTACGCATTCTTCTATAATATTTTGCAGAGCTGCCTGGCTTAGATTTTGCAGATTGGAAAAAAAATTGTATGTGAATGGTGGAGAATTAAATTATTTTAAATTTGAAAGATTATATAATTGTTTAGGAATAATTCTGATATTTTTTAATCTCTCAAGAGGGTGGTAAATAAAATTTAATACCCAAAAAATTAATTTTTAGAGAATAATATATTTTAATTGAAATAACCCTTTAAAATCCTGCGAGCTAATTTGATATCTTCAACTTATAACTACTAAGAATGCTTAATGATTTAATTTGAATAGTAAGTTTGCATGAAAAATATTTATGCCCAGCTAAAGACAAAAATGTCAAAGAACAGGGCACTTAGCAGTGTGCTGCCATAGTAAGCCTGTATATCGGAATTTAAACCCAGTGAATTTCTCTCAAGTGATTCAATAAATAGCCTTTGGACAGATGGATTAAATAAGGGGGCAACAATTATAGCCAAAATAAATGGACTTAGTGTCACGTTCAACTATGATATAAGTGCACAAGTTTCTATTATAAGATTGAATATTTGGAGAAAAACCGTCAACTTCTCCCACAACTCCTTTATCAGCCTATTGAGATATGCCAGTGGATTTAATAGGTGAAGCCATGGCCCATCTACAAATGAGAAGGAAATTTGTAAACTATAAGTTATTGTAATAAGGTCGAATAATCTAACTGTTTGGATTGCCATAGCATTTGGGTCTGATTTACCGAGACAGGTAAACATATAACACGTTTGACGCAGAGGATGGAGGAGTTGTATTATATTTAATAAATAAAAAATTTTAATTTCGGGGAATTTATTAAAAATATTTAAATAATCTATATTTTGAAAAAAGCTTAATAGATCATCTTCACAAGGATATTCCTTCATTTCCTTATCAAATTTGTCTTTATCAGAAAATATTCTGGTATGTGTGTTGGATAAAGGAATTAAGTCTGTTCTTTCTTTATCAAGAACTTTTCTCAAACTGGAAATAAGTTCTATTTGTTGACCTCTAATTTTATCTAGGGCCAATTCAATTTAAATAGCTTATATTCATCTTTATAGATGTGTTTGAATCTATTGAAAATAAAAGATAATCAAATTTAAATGGTAATCAATATTTGAACTGTATAGTATACCTTTTATCTATGCCTTGCTGGATTGAATTAATAAGCGGCTTACATTTGAAATTATTTAAAGCCATTTTTTTAAGTTTTAATATAATAATAGTAATCGTGTGAGTATCCCAAATGCATTTTTTCTTCGCTCTCTAAAATAAAAGACCCATAGAAATCGATTCCATAACCTACAAAATCATATATATAAATATCATATTTCTTAATTAATATTCATTAAGGAGTTATAAAGAGAGTTTCATCTTATTATAATCGATTTAATATGATATCTTCCCATGTTTTCCTTAAAAGTGGCTGCACAGTTTGAAGTTTGCCCATGTTTATTCCACAATAGCCTACACTTAGAAAATATAATTTTTGAAATGGTTTTAAAATGGACATCATTACCTACCTTTTCAATGTTAACACTTGAATGTTATCTGAGAAAGATTGGTATAAAATATAATAAATCATCAAAATTGAATAAAATATTTATTAATAAATTAGAGTCTGTTGACCAGTTATTTTTGTCAATTCAAGGTGTTTATTTTTACCTTACCACTTAGCCTACACACCACCCCCATAGCTCCAAACCTTTCTCCTTCTCATGTAGACTTTTTACATTCACTCTAAAAAATTGGCATGCCTTGTCACCTCTAGAGGTTGTGCTATCAATGAAATTATAACATGTTCAGTATTTATATTCACATTTTGACCAAAATAATTTATAAAGTTCAGAGACAAAGAATATGTTGTGAATTTTTTTTAGCTTACATTAATTATTGACATATTGAAATTATGCCTAAACAACTTTAAAATAATCATTTTTATTATTCATGTTGATATGACCGATTAATAATAACCTTTAAATTGTTTTTTTTTATGTTTATATAAATTGATTTTTTTTTATATAAATTGTGTAGATTGATTATTTCATATATTAATATGAAAATTGTTATATAAGCCTGATTTTTTAGTTTGATGTAAAATTTTAAAATAAATTAAATAAAATAAAATTAACTTTGATTTATTCTAAATTAAATAAAATAAACTCGTAACATTCATATATTTTTAGAAAACTTCATGGTGGCAGTTCCGCTACATATTCGAAGAAATCGTAAATAAATATTAAACAGATTCCCAATAATAATGTTAATATAAATTTTGAATTTCCAATATACTCAGGCAATGGCGATATTTTTTCGAGTAGATTCGAAGACATCTTCAAGGACACTCAGATCTCGGACATCGAAAAAATAGGTTCCTTTACAAGAAGACTACCAGATGAGGTATATATCAAATTAGACGAACTATAAAATTGGGCTATAATGACTTACAAAATATTCTAAATCCACAGACAATATGATTTTAGCTACTGGAACATAGACAACTAGATAAAAAGTTCTGGAATGTTATATTTATATCATTCTAAAAACACGTAAAAAATGATTAATTTGAAAAAGTGAAGAATAATTAAAAAATTTTAATGATAAATCTCTAAATTATGAATAAACCTATATGGGACAATAATCATAAAGCAAAGTCCATTGACAAATTAGAAGATTATTTAAAATTTCATGATAGTAAGAATACTCTAAGCTTAAAAGGTAATTTACCAGATGTTATATTTAGTCATGAAAGCTGTGCTTCCAAGAGAGTTAAATTCAAGTTATGATGAAGCATTGTGTACATTAAAATCCTACAGAAATAAAAGAAAATCGTTTTAATAAAAATAAATCTCTTAGTAACAAAAAATTGAAAAATATTGAATTAAAACCAAATATTCAAAATGAAAGAGATTCTTATAAACTAAAAGAGATAAATTATATAATAAAATTTGAAATATTCGTGATTATAGAAAAAAAGGAAATAAACATTAAAGAGAACAATAAAACAAAGATTAAAAAAAAATAATAAAATTAAAAAAACTCTTACTAAATGCGATAAAAAAATTGAGTCTTATAAATTTGAAGACAATTATAAGTAACACTAAGAGAAGTCATATAAAACTAAACGTCTTCATTCTAGAATAATACTCAAGGATGTGATGAAGAGATCTTTTTCTAAAAATTTAAGGCTCAAAAAATCATTTTTTACTAAAAACAATCTTATGAATAATTATTATTTCAAAATACTTTTTAAATTAAAAAATAAGGGCATAAAGTTTAAATTTCTGAAGAGAGAGATGGATGTACAGACGTACATATCATCTCATCATCTTTTCAAAATAAAAAAAACGCAAGTTTGATAATAGATGTAAAATTTTAAAATAAATTAAATTAAATTTGTAACTTTGATTTATTCTAAATTAAATAAAATAAACTCGTAACATTCATATATTTTTAGAAAAATTTAATTCATATTTATTTTAAATAATTTTTTGACCTTTTTTTATAATAAAAATTTAAGTTTTCATAAAAATTATTTTAAAGATCAAAAAATATATTTTTTTATAAAAAAATGACTAATAAAAACTCAAAAAATCTTTTTAGCTTGCACAAATTTTTCTTAAAAAAATCTTATTGAATTTTAAGCAGTTTATGAAAATCAAATTTAAGTTGAAACTCATCAAATGGTGAGTTCTAAAATTAATCTAAATTTTCCCAACCAACATGGGATTAGTATTTGTATCTTATTATCAAATATTGTCCTAGTTCTAAAATTAATCTAAATTTTCTCAACCAATATGGGATTAGTATTTGTATTTCTTATTATTATTGACCTTAGATTAACCTTAACTCATATCAGACCTTTGCATGCACCATTTGAACAAAAAATATATTGATTTATATTTTTTAAAACACCAGATACTATACACTAAATTTTAAGGCTTATCATGTAGTTTTAATTAAATTACGATAAATAACTTAAATCCTTATTTATTATTGTTATAGTTATTACATTAAAATCATTATACTTTTATGTGCATATGATATAATTTTACAATATTTCATTTTTCAATTATGTATAAATATATAATAGGAAATACTAATCAAGATAAAATATTTTTCGTAAAGTCAAATTACAATTATATAATAGTGGAATTTTAATAAATATATGGTAATTAGTTTTTTCTATTTATCATGCCTCTTTTCTATAGTTTCAATGTAAAAAATTCTTACAGGCCACATACTTCCAACAATCCATGAGACATTTGATTCTAATAATTTTATAACAATATTCTTGCATTTAGGAATGTTTTCTTTAATTAATTCATAATTTAATATAAAAAATAATTTTAATATTTCTAAGCAGAAAATTTTGGTATGGCCCATTCCATTAGGTTTGGAATTTCATTTAAAAATCATGACTATTTTATGTTGTAAACGAACGCGTTCAGAACGCGTTCGTGAACGAAGTTCGTTTTTTTGAAAAAAGGTGATGAACGGCGTTCCTTTTTTTTGACGAACTTTGAACGTGAACGCGTTCCTTTTCTTTGATGAACGCGTTCAATTTTACGTTCGTTCAATTTTAAAAACATTTTTTATTTATATTTATTTGAAAAATTAATATTAATCCGCATTTTTTAACAAAAAAGTCTTATATTTTTATTTATTTGAAAAATTAATATTTAATCCAATTTTTAAACAAAAAAGTCTTATATTTTTTAATCAGCTGTTTTTACTTTTTCCTCTTTCATATTGCAATTAACGTACCATAACGTGCTACTGCTAGAGAAGATAAGATTAAAGTTTATTAATTTGAATATTTTATATTTTAATTTAATAGATTAGCATTTGCATGGATATAAATATTTCATCATCAGATTCTGAAAATCAAAATTCTATATTAGATGAATTAGAATTACCATGGCCCAAATATCAAAAATATTTCACTGTTTTAAAATCAAAAGGTAATTCAATAGTTACCAAATGTAAAATGTGTCCAAAAAGTATTATATCATTGTTAACATCTTCAAGCTCCAATTTAAAAAGACATCTGATTGTAACATTAATTATTTTGTATTATATAATATGTATAACTATATAGCCAGTTAATAATTTATTTTAATTGTTCTAAGTAAAAATAATTACATAATATATATAGAGTTAATTATAATAAGGCATTTTAATATTAGTATTAGTCCATTCTTAACATAGATATGAAAGGGAAACTAGTATTTTTATGGGAGCTAATTTTGTTTGTCAATGTATTTAAAATAGGGAAAATAAAATGTATACTGTGATATGTAAAATTTAAAAAACATAAATATTAAAAAGAATATATCTTTTGTCAAGAAAATGAAAAAGATTCTCTTCAGACTAGTTAAAAATGTCAAAAAGTACTGAGTACAAGATACAAAAGGATCTTGTATCTTAGATACAAGTATTTGTGGTACTGCCAAACACTGATTTTAGAATTATTTTATAAGTCATAACTTTGCTATTACCAATTTAATTTAATAAAATAATATTATCTGTAGCATAATTTATCAAAAATTCCTTAATTTTTACAGAGTTCTCATGATAGTATGATGCAAGAAATTAATGATCATTTAACAAATTATAGTGATACAATTTAAAAAAATAGTAAAGGCTGAGAAATTTAAACAACAGACACTCTTAAATTATAAAAAAAATGCATCAAATGTGATTCAATCACAAATTGATGATGCTATAATTAACTTCATTATAGAAGAACTAGAGCCTTTTAATATTGTTGAAAAACCTGCTTTTGTAAAAATGATAACCACATTACAACCAAATAAAAAGGTTATGTCACGCCCGACCCTTGTGTCAAAAATATCAAAAGATTATAATATCATGATAGATAAAATGTTAACTTGTTTAGGCAATCAAACAATTCTTTGCATCACAGCAGATTCATGGTCATCATACCATCGGTATTTTGTACATTAAACTTTGAATATATCAATTTGTTTATATTATTAGTTCGTTTTTAGGCATGACTGTACACTGGTTAGATGCTGTCACTTTAGAAAGAAAATCAGCATGCTTAGCTTGCCTAAGGCTAACTAGCAAACACACATGATTATTTAGCTGAAACAATTTCAAACCTTCTAAAGAAATTTAAAATACATAATAAGGTAACATTATGTGTCACTGATAATGCAAGAAACTTTTTAAAGGCCTTTAGGTATAAATAAATAGTCTATATTTTAATTTTTATATTTAAAAAAAATTATAGATTATTTGAGAAAATATCTGAAGATGAGGAAGATGAAATTGAATCATTATCATTAAATGAGGTGTTTGAAAATCAAAATAGGGAGGAAAACTTTATCTATCTCCCCAAACATCACTCTTGTGCTTGCCACAATCTTAATTTAGTGGCAAGTGTTGATCCTGAAAAAGCATTAGAAGATGTATCTTTTAAAAGAATATTAAATAGTGCATTTGATAAATGCAAAAGTTTATGGAACAAACAAAATCAGTCAACATCATTTGCTGCAGACTTAACGAGTAATTTGTCAAGATTACTTATTAGGCCTGTTATTACCCGATGGAATTCTTATTATAATTCTTTGAAATTAATAGATTCCTTAGTAAAAGAAAATTCTAGTTTGTTTGACAAAGTCTGTGATATGGGAGGATTAGCTAGACTCTCAAACAATGATAAAATTTTTTTGGAAGAGTACTGTATTGTAAGTCCTAATAAATTTTTTTAGAATAAATATTATAATGAATTTTTTTAAATATTAAAATAGATCATGGAGCCTATTGCAACAGCTCTCACTATTTTAGAAAGTGAGGAAGAGATGCATTTGGGATATTTGACCCCGACAATAACAATAGTTATTATAAAATTAAACAAACTCAGTGGTCTAAAATATGGTCAACCATTGATAGATGCTGTATTAAATGGGATTAATAAAAGGTATTAAACCTATCACTATCAAATTAATTACATATATTTTATTTTTTTTAAAGATTTCAACATATATATGAAGATCAATATCTTCTTTCAGCAATTATACATCCGATATTCAAGCTTCAATGGCCTTGGATAAAGCTTCCACAAAATGAACCTTTAAAGAATAAACTTATAGCTCTTTTGAAAAAAGGCATTGAAACCCCAAGAATTGATAATGAAAGAACTGTCAATTCCGAGATATCTTCTTTTTTTTGACGAGGAAGAAGTGGGCAGATTGGAGGATGATAACATAGCTCAATTTTTTGAAACAAATGGATAAAACATTAAATGTTTTTAATAAATTCCCCCTTTTAAAAGAATTATTTATCAAGTATAACACCGCAATCCCTTCATCTGCCCCTGTTGAGCGAGTTTTTAGTATCGCTAACGCTGTATTAACTGCCAAGCGTTCATGCCTATCAGATGAAAATTTTGAAAAGCAATTATTATTAAAAATTAATAAGAAAATTTTTTTATAAATTTATTTTTTTATCGCTCTATTATATTGTATTTATAATTATATTATCAAAATAAAACTATTATTTTTTATCATGGCTAATATATTGTGTTGAAAAATATAAGGCTATTTATTTATATTAAATTAAATTTAAAAAAAAAATTTATCATAAAATTTTGAACTAATGAACGCGTTCATGAACTTGAACGCGTTCCTTTTTTTGAATTTGAACGTGAACGCGTTCGATTTTTTTAAAAATGTTTACAGCACTACTATTTTATTTATGGTCCAGTTCAAGGAAATTATTTTTAAACACATGACCTGTCAGATACAATTTATAAAAATGACTAAAATTTATTAAAACCCTCTAAAATATATCTTCTCCCCATCCTATTCCTTTTAACCCCATAATTGACCCTAACCCATATCTTTCTAAACTTTAATCCTACCTACTTGTTTATCTTTATATAGATCTTCCAATTAAAAAATTTATTTGAGTTGCAGATTCATTGAGTTTGGTCATTATCATTTTGTTTTATCATTTAGCAGTATATATTATTATATTTCAAAATAAAAAATAATATACCAAAGACCTTTTATAAAAAGATCCAAAATCATATATAGTTGTATTATTTTTATTAACACTCAAATAACTTATATATTGTCGGAAAAATATTAAAAAATCTTTTTAAATTACCAACATGACAAATATAATTATTTTTAAATGCAAATTATAATTATAAAAAGCAATAGCTCAAAAATGATATTATCTAAAGAAATTTAATTTATTAAAAATATCTAATATTATTATATTTACAAATGTTCCTAGTTAATCAATAATATTTATCGATAAATAAATGTAAAATAGATAGTATTCGTTTTTAAAATGGTTATATTAGATTATAAAAAATAATTGTTAATAGAATAGTAACCTTTTCAGATGATATTTATAATTATAAAATATTAATTTTTAAGATTAATTTTGAATCATAAATTAGACTATCCATTGAAGTTTTCCTCTCTCATAAAAACTTCAATGCAACTAGATTCAAGGATTAATAAAAAGCGCATATATTTGAAATGGGTTTCCCGTGAATAGTTTATCGCTTCTCGGCCTCTTGGCTAAGATCAAAGTGTAGTATCTGTTCTTATCAGCTCAATGAGGCCGAGAATCCGTCGATCCCCCCAGCAATTCCTATTGACAATCTACCATCCCCTATCATTCTCTAAAAGTGCGATGCGCATCGCACCCTATCGAGTGGCAACTATTATTCTTATGCCGCAGTTGGAGTATTCTATTCCGTAGGATCTTGTTCCACAGCCCAGTTATTCTATGCCGCTGCCGACGCCGCGAGGAATGAATTCTATCTGGAGACAGGAATATTGCCACGAGGGACGAATCTCAACGCGAAGGATGAATAAAGCCATGGACACGGAGGACCTATCCCATCGCGACGAATTGGAGGCACATTATCCCAATGATGCGATTCGACGAATTGGAGGAACATTATCCCAACGATTCAAATTGGATGAACATATTTCGCGCACTTTTTTATATATTAATATCGCGTTTTTTATATGACATACCATATCTGTACAATATTTTTATATATTATTGTAAACATAGAGCGTTGTCTCAAATAAAATAATCTGTTCTCGAATCATCCGTCCAATCGACCCAACTCGGAAGGTATCGTTCCAGGAGCCAGATCTCGTCCACAAATCCATGGTCCCCCTTCGCTTGCCCAGAATCGCAGCACTAGGCTTCCCACTGGTCGTGTCGTCTTCCCGAACTATCCGTCCAATCGACCCAACTCGGATGGTATCATTCCAGGAGCCAGAACTCGTCCACAAATCCATGGTCCCTCTTCGCCTGCTCCGAATCGCAGCACTAGGCCTCCCATTGGTCGTGTCTTCTTCCCGACCCGTTCGTCCAATCGTCTCAACTCGGTCATTGGGATACCATTAGCTACGAACCAATATGAGGCGTTGAGTACCGATGATGACGTTGACGTGGTTGTATCCCAGGAGTCTACATCAACAAGGAGGGCAGCTCCATCAACAAGGAGGGGAGCTCCATCAACAAGGAGTTCCATGCTAACACCGCGGGACACCACTCCGATGCTGCCATTTGTTGAGAGAATAGAGAGGTTCCTGAATACACCTGCAGTAGAGGAAGACTGGACCTCGTTTACTGCGGTCATGGACGACTTGATCTCGACGGCCCACGAAATACTACGGATACGGCCTCGAGGTTGCAGAGTCCGGACACCTGGAAATGATAATGATAACACGGAGAATTCAGGTAATCCGGTGGACCGCAACAATATCGCTTGTGACGCGAAAGCAGTCCAAAAGCTTTACAACATTAACCGGAAAAGGGCAGTCCGCCATATTGTTGAAGGTTCCTCCCCTCGCTGTAATATAATCCGCGAGACCGTGCAAGCCCACTTCGAATCAACAATCGGGATAGCAGCGAGCTGTGATACGTCAATCTACGGCATCCCGGAGATGGCATCACTGGAGATAACCAGCTTTACAGCGGAGGAAGTATCCCTCCAGTTACAGCGTGGCAACAACTCTGCTCCGGGTCCTGATCAACTGACTTTCAACAATTGGAGGAGACTTGACCCGCAGGCTACATTGTTAACCCACATCTTCAATGTATGCCTCAAGCATGGTAGGGTTCCTGACTCTTGGAAGCAGTCTGTGTCCGTGCTCATCCACAAGAAAGGTGATCAAGCAGATATCCTCAATTGGAGACCGATATCGTTAAACAACTGTATATACAAAACGTATACTGGTCTTCTAGCCAAGCGGATATCTACTCACGTGGATGATAACGGCCTTATCTCCAGAGGGCAGAAAGGGTTCATGCCCTATGATGGGGTCTTCGAGCATAACTTCGTGCTCCAAAACAATATATTGGAGGCGAGAAGATCGAAGAAGGAGTTGTGCGTGGCTTGGCTCGATTTAGCAAGCGCATTCAATTCCATACCCCATCTGGCGATGCTATCTGGTCTCAGGAGTGTTGGGGCTAATGAGCGTGTGGTTGACATGGTGAAGGATCTATACAATGGGTCAAGAACTCGCTTCATCCTCAACAACGGGCTTACGGAGGAGATAACCTTCCACTCGGGCGTTAAGCAAGGATGTCCGCTCTCCGGCATCTTATTCAACATCGCCATAGATCCGCTACTGCGAAGGCAAGAGACTGATCCGATTGACTCTACCACTCTTGCATACGCAGACGATATTGTGTTATTGACGGGCTGCGCCGGAGATCTGCAGCGGAGACTCGATATCGTGGCTTCTGACTGCGAAAGAATTGGACTATCGCTAAATCCTGGAAAGTGCGCCGTTATGCATTTTAGTGGGCAAGCTCCAGTCGGGGTCCGCGAAAGCACCTTTAAAATCAATAGCGGTCGGCTCAGGTGCCTGAAAGAAGGTGAGTCGGAAGCCTTTCTGGGTAAACCAACAGGGTTCCTTTGTGATAAATATGATAATAATAACAGAACCTTGGAGATTACCCAGAAAATCAGCGGATCTAAGTTAGCCCCGTGGCAGAAGATAGACGCCATCAAAACGTTTGTCTTTCCCACGCTAAGCTTTCCAATGCGATGTGACCTCCTCGCGAAGACGGCCTGCGACAAGGTGGACAAGGAGATTCGTATAATACTAAAGTCCTTATTAGCTCTTCCCCTATCTGCGGCTAACAACTACCTGTACGGGTCGCGGAAGTTAGGTGCTATCGGAATCCCGCTGATGGCTGAGGATAGTGATATTTATCGGATCGACAACGCCTTCAAGCTTTTGACCTCAAAGGATCCCCTCGTCAAAGAGTTGGCCCTTGCAGAGCTTGGAGACACCGTCGCCAGTCGGACTGGAAAGCACCTGATGGATGTATCATCGGCTGACATCGCAGACTACCTATCTGGGGTAAATGATGAGCGCTTCAAAAACTCAGCAAACCCCTATAGGAATGCATGGACAAGGGCCCGTCAGGCTTCGTTGAGGCTCATAGTGAGGTGGAGGTTGGTTGATGGAGTTTTTACGTTGACAAAGGACGATTTTGTGCTGGATCCACATTGTCGTAGGTTGGTGGTAAAGCGATTGAGAGAGGCGATGAGGTCACAGAGGGACCGGGAACTTCGGGAGCTGAGGAACCAGGGCAAAGTCATGGAGTGTGTTGGTCAACACCCGGCGAGTCATTTCTTCCTCACGAGTGGACAATACACCTCATTTCGTGAATGGAGATTTATACACCGGGCTAGACTCAACGAACTACCATTAAACGCGAGACCAGGCTGTTCAAGAGACCCGCGTTGTAGGAGGTGTGGACAATCAAACGAAACCCTCCCGCACGTCTTGAATCATTGCATGAGGTACTCGCGTTGGATGGTAGAACGCCACGACGCCGTCGTCGAACGACTTAAAACGACCGTAGCTGCAGAATTCTCAATTCTTGCGGAGAATCAAGTCGTCGACGATACACTCCTGAGACCGGACCTGGTGATAGCGAAAGGCAATCAAGCCTTTATAATCGACGTCACTATTCCCTTTGATAATCGCTTAGCTTCTTTGGACGCAGCTTACAACGAGAAGATAGCTAAGTATCAAGGGATAGTGCAGTTTCTGAAGCAAACTTACTCATCGGTAGATGTCGTGCCGATAGTGGTTGGGTCCCTGGGTTCCTGGTACGCAAAAAATGATTTCTTAATAAGGCGTATCTGTGCCAAGACCTACGGGAAGATGCTTCGGAAACTAATCGTCGCTGACGTCATTAAAGGATCTTGCAATCTCTATCATCAGTTTATTTCGGGGAGGATGAATGGTAGGAGGCAGTGATTCAGACGACATCGCGTTTTTATTTATATTTATTTTTAATATCGCGCGTCTTATTGACTTCTCTACTTTTATATCGCGTTTAATTATATTCGTCTTTATAATATCGCTTACTTTGCTATTCCATTTTCGCTGGTATTCTTTTTTTATATAGAACATATATATATATATATATCGCTTATCATATTACATCGCATGTATTACATATGTTTATTATCATATATCATATCATTGAAAATGCTATTTGGAATATTTTTTTTTAACATATCTTTTTTTTAAAATAAATAATCTGTTCTTATCAGCTCAATGAGGCCGAGAATCCATCGATCCCCCCAGCAATTCCTATTGACAATCTACCATCCCCTATCATTCTCTAAAAGTGCGATGCGCATCGCACCCTATCGAGTGGCAACTATTATTCTCTTATGCCGCAGTTGGAGTATTCTATTCCGTAGGATCTTGTTCCACAGCCCAGTTATTCTATGCCGCTGCCGACGCCGCGAGGAATGAATTCTATCTGGAGACAGGAATATTGCCACGAGGGACGAATCTCAACGCGAAGGATGAATAAAGCCATGGACACGGAGGACCTATCCCAACGCGACGAATTGGAGGCACATTATCCCAACGATGCGATTTGGAGGCACATTATCCCAACGATGCGATTTGGAGGCACATTATCCCAACGATGCGATTTGGAGGCACATTATCCCAACGATGCGATTTGGAGGCACATTATCCCAACACCCGACGAATTGGAGGAACATTATCCCAACGATTCAAATTGGATGAACATATTTCGCGCACTTTTTTTATATATTAATATCGCGTTTTTTATATGACATACCATATCTGTTCTTATCAGCTCAATGAGGCCGAGAATCCATCGATCCCCCCAGCAATTCCTATTGACAATCTACCATCCCCTATCATTCTCTAAAAGTGCGATGCGCATCGCACCCTATCGAGTGGCAACTATTATTCTTATGCCGCAGTTGGAGTATTCCATTCCGTAGGATCTTGTTCCACAGCCCAGTTATTCTATGCCGCTGCCGACGCCGCGAGGAATGAATTCTATCTGGAGACAGGAATATTGCCACGAGGGACGAATCTCAACGCGAAGGATGAATAAAGCCATGGACACGGAGGACCTATACCATCGCGACGAATTGGAGGCACATTATCCCAACGATGCGATTCGACGAATTGGAGGAACATTATCCCAACGATTCAAATTGGATGAACATTATCCCAACGATTCAAATTGGATGAACATTATCCCAACGATTCAAATTGGATGAACATTATCCCAACGATTCAAATCCCAACGATTCAAATTGGATGAACATATTTCGCGCACTTTTTTATATATTTATATCGCGTTTTTTATATGACATACCATATCTGTACAATATTTTTATATATTATTGTAAACATAGAGCGTTGTCTCAAA